TTATGAAGTTAAAATTTTAAATCATGAAAAGGCATTAGGATGGACATTAGTAAAAGATTCCACTTGCTTTAAAGAAAGAACGCAGCGACCGTTACAAAGAATACCAGACTGTTTGAATTATTTTTATCAATATCCTATGACATTTAATGTTACTATTAAAAAAAGTAATTAATTACACTGTGCACCAAAAAAATATCTGAGTTGGGAGTCCATTTTTTATGGTCCCAACTTGGGACCATAAAAAATGGATACAGTATACAAAAAAATGAATATGTGTTTCGGGATTTTTCATATTAGATCCAGTTTTAAAGATTTTATGTTTTTATTTTAATTAATTTTTAATTTTTGTATACTGTATCCATTTTTTATGGTCCCAACCCAGATATTTTCATCAAATGTTATCGCACAGGTATTTATATCTTTTAATAAACTTTGTATTACTTTTGTAAATCCTTTATTATATTTAATATTCGTTCTGTGTTTTACTATATAAGCCATTTTTTCTACTCCCACCTTTAAAACGCCCTTTATCGTACATGTCTCCATGACACTTTTAAATACCCATTGACAAGTTGTGGCTTTATGGCGCTTTAGTCACGGACTGAAGTTAGCAACAGGTTTTTAGTCACGGGTTGAGTAAATAGTAAATTGGGATGCAACAAAATTGACATTGACAGTCAATTAAGGAAACATGAAGAAACATGTCCTTTACATATCTATCAATGTCCAATGGATTGCTCTGAAACTGGAAACTTTAAATTTATTTTAAAACATTTAATTACTAAGCATGGGAATGTGGAATTACATGGAGAGATTTTTATTCAAACTTTTTCTGGCCTTTAGCTAATTTGAAAGCTATTTGGCCAGCTCATGAGGTTAATTTTTTTCCAATTATTCTTGAACTATTATAATACCGATTTTTAATCTTCCCGCTTTAAGTAGAAGTCAACAAGTACTGGTTATTATATTTGTTATATGGTTGGCAACTAGAAATCTTTAGGTTGGCAATATCGTGAAGTTAGCGGCAGCGTTGCCAGGTCTAATGTTGTTAATAGGTGGGGTAAATCATAATTAAAGAAAAATGTGTTTCAAAGTAACTGGTTTTTATTATTTACAATTTGTTGTTTTGTTAATATTACAAATAACAATAAACTAGGAAAAAACAAAGCAATGTTGGAATTGGGTAATTAGTTTAAGTGTTTTTCGGGAACCCTGTATATTTTGGATTCTATACCGTAGGGCATCTATTTAGGGTGTAAAATATTTTAAACCCTAAACCTGTTAGGCTACCGTCCGTCATTACAGGTATTACAATGGGACCTGCACTAGAATCTGTAAAAAAAAAATAAAATTAGTTATCACATTTTTTTAGCATATCAACAAAAAATATTTAGTTCGCTATTCTGCCGTCCAATGTAAAAGAATTAGTCAACATCTGCAGATACTGATGCGGATGTTATAATTTTTAAGTACGACTTAATTTTTGCGCCTTTTTCTCAGACTTTAAAATGAAGTTCTTTTTCTTAATTTAAACGACAGAATACCTATTTACCAGTAATGGGCGCATTTAATGTAAAATTCCTGATGGTCAATCCATCATTTAGTTTATCACCACATAGCCTGGAACCATCCAAAATTACATAATCATTTGGACAATTTATAACATCCGCCCCAGCTTGTCCTTGCGGAACTGTCCTTATTCCAGCTAAAAAATTGTCAATTTTCAACACTGTATTCATATAAATATATTTTCAATAAATTATTTTTTTTTAAACGTAGTGATGTGTGGGGAGAGCCTTTAGATAATCTATGTCGCCAGATGAGGAGAGTGGGTGGCGGAAGTTCCGCATCCTCTAAAAGTCCTTAAATCTGCAGATATTTTTGCATAGAGTAGACCAGAACTGTTTGGTGCAGTTTTTCGTCAAAAAAAAGTGTTCAATGTTTTTTTATTCTAGCACTTCCGCCAACATAAAGAAGTAGTTTTAAGAAAGGCGGTTTTAAAGTATTTATAGCGTTTTATTTAGAAAACAAATACTTACAACTATTTACATTATTTAGTTGAAAAGGATATTCCACCCCATTTCTTACATTCGTGTAAGTTATAGAACAATATCCAGCTTCCTTCCGTATACATATTGCATAGTTCAGGTTATTCTAAAAATATGAAATTTAGTATGGCAACGTTGCATTGCGAAACACAATCTCAATGCGATATTTTAAAAAAATACCCACCAAATACTGAGTGGTACTTCTATTAAACATTGACGCCTGGTCGTAGTTAAAGGAAGTGATTACCCCGGAAGTTCCGGTGAAGTACTGCAGGCAATTTGACGTCGTGCAACTGTTTTCAAACTGGCAAACCCGAATTCTCCAACGTTTTCTAGATACTATGGTTGATAACACAGATAAACTAAGAGGTCCAGAGAGCATGGAAACGTCTACGTAAACTAAAAAGTTAAATTTTAAATTGTTGAATTTTAAAAATTGCCTTTCTTCCTTCCGTAGAAGGTCAACAATACAATCCCATACGGGAATCTATAAACGGCACTACGGTTTTCGTATTGTTCATCTTTTACGGGAGGAAGAAAGAAGGACAATCTATAAATCAGACTTTACTGTGTTGCCCGGTGTTATATCCGCATAAAACTGGAACCTGACTGTTAACGTTTTGGCCGGAAATGACAAATCTTTCTCGTACGCATGTTCCATTCGTTGGGCCCAGCAACTAAAAATAAAAAAAACATAGCAAAAAGTGTCCATCCATTCACTTCCGCAAAAGAAAAGTATCTAATTTGTATTATTTCATGTATAAAATGTTGCCTAATGTATAAATATAAACTTAATCAATACAATAGATCAAATGATTAATATTCACAAAATATTGGCCGATACTGCAATATATCAAAAAACTTCCTTAAATTTTGCATTATTAGTAATTATTTATTACGATTAATCCATTGACATTTGGCAACACTGTTTAATAAAAAGTGTTTACCATACCATTCAGCTTGAATGTTTCAGGTACAATCAGGTTTGTTCTGTGGGTACAATTCGTTGAATGATTCAGGTAACAATTCGTTTATAAATTCTTTTTCTATGGTTCTTTTACAATCTCTGGGTTTTTATCGAGTGTTGTTGTGTTGTTGCATCTATTTCAAAGTTTCTTGTTTTGGTTTAGGGTAAGTTTTATGCATGTTTGTTTATTATTTGTAAGGCGCTATCAAATCAAATTTCATTTTCTACCTTTTAAAACAGTTTAATATACCCTCACTCGATTTTTCCACGTTTATGTTTATAACAAAACCGAAAAAAATGTCAATAGCGTTGTTATGCATCAGTGATTAGCTGATTTCAAAATTCACTGTTATTTTAACCAATCGGGTTTTAATTACGTTAAAGTAGGGTTAATAGATTTGTTTATACGCTGTGACTAGAGGCACGTTAACGTGCCGCGATTTGAAATGTTAAAGGGACGTTAGTTACGTCATAAACTCAAACCACCCCAAACTCAACAACACAACCCAACCGACCCCGCCCCATTGCCCCCCCTCCGCCCCATTGAACAAAAAACCCAACTAAAATGGGCAAATTTATGTTACGATAAAAATAAAACACTTTTTAATACATTAATATTTAAAGATATTTATGTGAAAACAAACCAACCAACCCAACCCAACCGAACACTGTTTAACAAAGAAACAACAAATTTATGAAATAAAAAAATAAAAAAAATTCGACAGCTTCTTAGTATCGACCCCGGGACCTCTCGCATGCCAAGCGAACGCCCTACCATATAAGCTATCAAGCTTGATGTCAAATATAGAACGCTCGGGGAACAAAAACGGATTATAATTATGACGTAACTAACGTGCCTTTAATATTTTCAATAGCGGTACGTTAGCGTGCCTCTAGTCACTGTGTTGTTTATATGTATATACGGGGGGCGACTATAATGATTTTTAAAATCGGGGAAAAGTGAGGTTATATAAATTTTGTAATCAATGAAAATTACTTAATTGGAGTACAAAAAGCATATTATACTATTAAAAATATATACGTATAATTTTTTTAAGAATACATTTAGGGTTGGAAATCTATTTTGCTAATCATAAACAAAGTGTTAAATTGTTTACTTTCGATTGGTCAATTAAGTTGTTTTTATAATTAAAATCGATTTACATTTATTTTATAAAAAAACAATCATGACGGAAATAATGTATCAACCCAAGGCCTCTTATATTGCTTATGGTAATTTTATACAACCCAAGGTGTTAGTTAAGTTTTATAGTGCTATCTAGGTTACCTAAAATGTTATTTTATATACAGGGTGTTATGTAATTAATGTTATATATTAAAATGGGTTGTTCCTTAGGGTCCATAAAGAAGCACCTGAAACTTTTTTTTTCTAAATTCCAAAGTCTAAAAATAATTTATAATAACCTTTATCCTATCAAAAAGTACGCCACTGATCGACTAGGAACTTTAGGTTAATCTGGTGGATTTATTATGTTATGGTTGGTAACAACAGTGTTTGAAAAATCTCTCAAAAAAGTTGACAAACATTGTTTAAATTTAGCTTAATTACAAAAATGACAAAATTAACAATGCAAATTGTCAATTTGGCGTTTTTATTAATTGTTGGTTATTTCATTTTTGTACTGAAGGTAAATTCAAACAAAATCTGCCAAAACAAGCATTTAAAAAATTATATCCCATTAAATCTATGCATAGAGGTGAAAATAACAGAACAAGACTAACTGGTTCGAAAAAATAAAGGTTGGGACTACATTTCCTGAAAATATCAAATTTTGATTTATGCCTCTACATACCTCATGATTTTGGAGGGCAAAGTTGGCTAATTTTGAAAACTTTTAAGATTTGTTTTCTCTAAGAGAATAAAAGTCCAAAAACTTAAAACAACGTTTACGTGTTCTATTATATGTCCACAATTATTATTAACCAAGTGAGTTTTTCAAAATAACATTTTATTTGCAGACGATATGGCCACCAAAACGATGAATCAGTTTACTGACGATCTTTTAAAAGAAAAAATATTCCACTGCCAGATTTGCGATGAGCTTTGCACGTCCGATGTTTTCCTGGTCAAAGGTAAAGGAAATTTGTGTGAGAACTGTTTTGAAGAAAAGTGTGGGGAGGAAATGAAGTCCAGGGCTGAATTAAACACAGCCCTCATCCTAATTATGGCCAAGCTGATGCTGCCGTGCAAATATCAGTCCAGTGGTTGCGGTAAGAGTTTGGAGTCCAAAAAGTACTCCAAGCACATTGCTACTTGCGATTTCAAAATTAAACCGTGCCCGATGAAAAATCTCGAGGGTTGTGATTGGAGTGGAAGCAATTTCGAAGTAAGCGGACATTTATTGGAAAATCATCAAGAGCACGTCATTAAAAGTGAAAATAATATTTTTAAAGTTGAGTCGTCCTTGTGTGAACCTTTCAACGTAAAGTTATTATCTGATGATTACCGAAATTGCCTTTTAAAGACTTCAGTTGTTGATGATAAATTTTATTACGCTTTAAATCCGGTTGAAAAGTCCGAAAAAAATATGGAATACTCAGTGGAGCACAAACGTATTCAAACATCAAACCATTTAGTATTAAAAAACGTTGGTACACTTACCAAGCTGAATGGTTTTTATAACGAAGAAAACCTGGATAAAAACCCCAACGCGACTGTGGTTGACATCAATCTGTTGAAACATCTTGCAGACGAACAAAATATGATTTTAAATGAATTTGACTTAAAACCTGCAGAAATCGACAATAATACATTTAAACTATTGGAATGTCCAGTCTGTATGAAAACCATGCGACCGCCAATTTATAATTGCACCAACGGACATAGCATTTGCATAATATGCAAAGAACTAGCAAATGAATGCCCCACATGTAAGGAAGGGTGGACCAGTTCAAGGTGTTACTTTTTAGAAAATTTAACTACAAAAATCAAGTATCCATGCAGATATAATAAATTGGGATGCAACGAAATTGCCATTGAAAGTCAATTAAGGAAACATGAAGAAACATGTCCGTCGCATAACTATCAATGTCCGATGGATTGTTCTAAAACTGGAAACTTTGAATTCATTGTAGAACATTTAATGACTGAACATAAGAATGTGGAATTTACTGGAGAGATAGAAGACATATCTTGTGATGAAAAGCTTAAATGGATGATGTTTGATATGAAATTTTTTAGAATATCGTATTATTCTATGGATTTTAATGTTTATTGGGCTGTCGAATTGGTTTGCTCCAATGAAAACCCCAAATTGTATACTTATGTAGTTAAAATTTTAAATCATAAAAAGGCATTAGGATGGACATTAGTAAAAGATTCCACTTGCTTGAAAGAAGGACCGTTACTACAAATATCAGACTATTTGCATTATTCTTATCGATATCCTATGACATTTAATGTTACTATTAAAAAAAGTAATTAATTACACTGTGCACCAAAAAATTATTTTTTAACCCAACCCAACTTGGGAACATGAAAAATGGATACTTTGTTTTACAAAAAAATGAAAATGTGTTTTTAATATTAGGTTCAGTTTTAGAGATGTTATGTTTTTATTTTAATTATTTTTGTATTTTTGTTTACTGTATCCATTTTTCATGGTATCAACCCAGATATTTTTATCAAATGTTATAACAGCTGTTAAATACACTAGTGTATTTATATTTTTTAACAAACTTTGTATTACTTTTGTAAATCCTTTATTATATTTAATACCTATGCGTTCTGTGTTTTACTTTATTAGCTATATTATGTTTAAATAAAATTAAAAGCATGTACTAAAATAAATGTATGTAAGTATATTTATTAAACCCATACTATCCAACAGAGAAGTATTTATAATAATCTGGGTTAAATTATTTTTTCTACTCCCACCTTTAAAACGCCCTTTATCGTACATGTTTCCATGACACTAAGTGACCTTTTAAATACACATTGACAAGTTGTGGCTTTATGCCCCTTTAGTCACGGGCTGAAGTTAGCAACAGGTTTTTAGTCACGGGCTGAAGTTAGTTGACAGTTGTCAAATGTCATACAATCGTTAAAATAAAGTGCCTTTCTCGTAAAATAATATTAAATGTGTGGAGGGTGGAGTCCAAAAAGTACTCCAAGCACATTGCTACTTGCGATTTCAAAATTAAACCGTGTGATTGGAGTGGAAGCAATTGCCTTTTCAAGACTTCAGTTGTTGATAAATTGTATTGCGCTTTTAATCACAAACGTATTAAAACATTAAACCATTTATTCTTAAAAACACTTACAAAACTGAATGATATTTATAACGAAGAAAACCTGGATAAAAACCCCAACGCGACTGTGGTGGACATCGATCAGTTGAAACCTTTCGCAAAAGAAAAAAATATGATTTCAAACGAATTCGACTTAAAATCGGCAGAGATCGACAATAATACATTAAAACTATTGGAATGTCCAGTCTGTATGAATTCCAAGCGACCGCCAATCTATAATTGCGCCAACGGACATAGCATTTGCATATTATGCAAAGAACTAACAAATTAATGTCCCACATGTAAGGAAGGGTGGACCAGTTCAAGGTGTTACTTTATAGAAAATTTAACTTCAAAAATCAAGTATCCATGCAAATATAGTAAATTGGGATGCAACGAAATTGATATTGGCAGTCAATTAAGGAAACATGAAGAAACATGTCCTTTACATATCTATCAATGTCCAATGGATTGCTCTGAAACTGGAAACTTTAAATTTATTTTAAAACATTTAATTACTAAGCATGGGAATGTGGAATTACATGGAGAGATTTTTATTCAAACTTTTTCTGGCCTTTAGCTAATTTGAAAGCTATTTGGCCAGCTCATGAGGTTAATTTTTTTCCAATTATTCTTGAACTATTATAATACCGATTTTTAATCTTCCCGCTTTAAGTAGAAGTCAACAAGTGCTGGTTATTATATTTGTTATATGGTTGGCAACTAGAAATCGTTAGGTTGGCAATAGCGTGAAGTTAGCGGCAGCGTTGCCAGGTCTAATGTTGTTAATAGGTGGGGTAAATCATAATTAAAGAAAAATGTGTTTCAAATTAACTAGTTTTTATTATTTACAATTTGTTGTTTTGTTAATATTACAAATAAATACTTGGGTTAAATAGCAAAATAAATAATTTTTTTACTAAAACTAGGAAAAAACAAAGCAATGTTGGGTTTAAGTGTTTTTCGGGAACCTTGTATATTTTGGATTCTATACCGTAGGGCATCTATTTAGGGTGTAAAATATTTTAAACCCTAAACCTGTTAGGCTACCGTCCGTCATTACAGGTATTACAATGGGACCTGCACTAGAATCTGTAAAAAAAAATAAAATTAGTTATCACATTTTTTTGGCATATTAACAAAAAATATTTAGTTCGCTATTCTGCCGTCCAATGTAAAAGAATTAGTCAACATCTGCAGATACTGATGCGGATGTTATAATTTTTAAGTACGACTTAATTTTTGCGCCTTTTTCTCAGACTTTAAAATGAAGTTCTTTTACTTAATTTAAACGACAGAATACCTATTTACCAGTAATGGGCGCATTTAATGTAAAATTCCTTATGGTCAATCCATCATTTAGTTTATCACCACATAGCCTGGAACCATCCAAAATTATATAATCATTTGGACAATTTATAACATCTGCCCCAGCTTGTCCTTGCGGGACCGTCCTTATTCCAGCTAAAAAATGGTCAATTTTCAACACTGTATTCATATAAATATATTTTCAATAAATTATTTTTTTTAAACGTAGTGAAGTGTAGGGAGAGCCTATAGATAATCTATGTCACCAGATGAGGAGTGGATGGCGGAAATTCCGCATCCTCCAAAAGTCTGCAGATGTTTATGAATACAGTAGACCAGAACTGTTTGGTGCAGTTTTTCGTTAAAAAAAAGTGTTCAATGTTTTTTTATTCTAGCACTTCCGCCAACATAAAGAAGTAGTTTTAAGAAAGGCGGTTTTAAAGTTTTTATAGCGTTTTATTTAGAAAACAAATACTTACAGCTATTAACATTATTTAGTTGAAAAGGATATTCCACCCCATTTCTTACATTCGTGTAAGTTATAGAACAATAACCAGCTTCCTTCCGTATACATATTGCATAGTTCAGGTTATTCTAAAAATATGAAATTTAGTGTGGCAACGTTGCATTGCGAAACACAATCTCAATGCGATATTTTAAAAAAATACCCACCAAATACTGAGTGGTACTTCTATTAAACATTGACGCCTGGTCGTAGTTAAAGGAAGTGATTACCCCGGAAGTTCCGGTGAAGTACTGCAGGCAATTTGACGTCGTGCAACTGTTTTCAAACTGGCAAACCCGAATTCTCCAACGTTTTCTAGATACTATGGTTGATAACACAGATAAACTAAGAGGTCCAGAGAGCATGGAAACGTCTACGTAAACTAAAAAGTTAAATTTTAAATTGTTGAATTTTAAAAATTGCCTTTTTTCCTTCCGTAGAAGGTCAACAATACAATCCCGTAAGGGAATCTATAAACGGCTCTACAGTTTTTGTATTGTTCATCTTTTACGGGAGGAAGGAAGGAGGACAATCTATAAATCAGGCTTTACTGTGTTGCCCGGTGTTGTATCCGCATAAAACTGGAACCTGACTGTTAACATTTTGGCCGGAAATGACAAATCTTTCTCGTACGCATGTTCCATTCGTTGGGCCCAGCAACTAAAAATAAAAAAAAACATAGCAAAAAGTGTCCATCCAATCACTTCCGCAACAGAAAAGTATCTAATTTGTATTATTTTATTATTATTATTGTTGCCTAATGTATAAATATAATATAATCAATACAATAGATCAAACGATTAATATTCACAAAATATTGGCCGATACTGCAATATATCAAAAAACTTCCTTAAATTTTGCATTATTAGTAATTATTTATTACGATTAATCCATTGACATTTGGCAACACTGTTTAATAAACAGTGTTCTTTGGTGTTTACCATACCATTCAACTTGAATGTTTCAGGTACAATTCGTTGAATGATTCAGGTAACAATTCGTTTATAAATTCTTTTTCTATAGTTCTTTTACAATCTCTGGGTTTTTATCGAGTGTTGTTGTGTTGTTGCATCTTTTTCAAAGTTTCTTGTTTTGGTTTAGGGTAAGTTTTATGCATGTTTGTTTATTATTTGTAAGGCGCTATCAAATCAAATTTCATTTTCTACCTTTTAAAACAGTTTAATATACCCTCACTCGATTTTTCCACGTTTATGTTTATAACAAAACCGAAAAAAATGTCAATAGCCATGTATCATGGTCAATAGCGTTGTTATGCATCAGTGATTAGCTGATTTCATTTTAACCAATCGGGTTTTAAATTACGTTAAAGTAGGGTTAACAGATTTGTTTATATGTATATACGGGGGGCGACTATAATGATTTTTAAAATCGGGGAAAAGTGAGGTTATATAAATTTTGTAATCAATGAAAATTACTTAATTGGAGTACAAAAAGCATATTATACTATTAAAAATATATACGTATAATTTTTTTAAGAATACATTTAGGGTTGGAAATCTATTTTGCTAATCATAAACAAAGTGTTAAATTGTTTACGCTCGTTTGGTCAATTAAGTTGTTTTTGTAATTAAAATCGATTTACATTTATTTTATAAAAAAACAATCATGACGGAAATAATGTATCAACCCAAGGCCTCTTATATTGCTTATGGTAATTTTATACCACCCAAGGTGTTAGTTAAGTTTTATAGTGGTATCTAGGTTACTTAAAATGTTATTTTATATACAGGGTGTTATGTAATTCATGTTATACAAGGTGTCCCTAAACTTAGTGGCATAAATTTAGGAGCAGATTAAGCAAGTCAAAATAAGACGAAAACCTAAATAAATATGTTTCCTAATTACTTATGTTTCCAAGATACAGGGTGATTAAGTGTTACCTATCATATCAGTTTTTTTAATATAACTTCTACTCTGGTAGTCTTGGAAACGTGATATTTTGCGAACAGTCACTTACTACCAAAACACATATTCACACATAATTTCAATTGTTTGAGTGAACACAGTGTCGTAGAAACGGGGGTTGCTTTAAGCTTATTGTCCCATACAAACTTTGAGGTTAGGTTTTTATAACATTTGATACAATTTTTCGATTACACAGTTCGTCTACCATTAAAAAGGTGTACCTCTTAAACTTCGATAAAATAAACCGTTTCCGAGATATTCGAGATTACAATAATTGTTATATCGCATTATTTAAAAGGATTAATAAAAGGTATATGATAACAAATTTTATTTTTTAATTGAAAAAATTAAAAAACGGCATTCCATGAGCCTCGAGACTTTTTGCCCTGACCGTCACATTAAAAAAATTGTAGTTTTTTCAAATAAAAAATTTGTTATCATATACCTTTAAGTCCTTTAATGCGATATAACAATTATTGTAATCTCGGATATCTCGGAAACGGTTTATTTTATCGAAGTTTGAGAGGTATACCTTTTTAATAGTAGCCGAACTGAGTAATCGAAAAAATGCATCAAATGGTATAAAAACCTAACCACAAAGTTTGTATGGGACAATAAGCTTAAGCAACCCCTGTTTCTACGACACTGCGTTCACTCGAACAATTGTTATTATGTGTGAATATGTATTTTGATAGTAAGTGACTGTTCTCAAAATATCACCTTTCCACGTCTACCATAGTGGAAGTTATATTAAAAAAACTGATATGATAAGTAAACTTTATCACCCTGTATCTTTTAAACATACCTAATTAGGAAAAATATTTATTTACATTTTCGTCTTATTTTGACTGCTCCCAAATTTATGCCACTAAGTTTAGGGACACCTTGTATATTAAAATGGGTTGTTCCTTAGGGTCCATAAAGAAGCACCTAAAACTTTTTTTCTAAATTCCAAAGTCTAAAAATAATTTATAATAACCTTTATCCTACCAAAAAGTACGCCACTGATCGACTAGGAACTTTAGGTTAATCTGGTGGATTTATTATGTTATGGTTGGTAACAACAGTGTTTGAAAAATCTCTCAAAAAAGTTGACAAACATTGTTTAAATTTAGCTTAATTACAAAAATGACAAAATTAACAATGCAAATTGTCAATTTGGCGTTTTTATTAATTGTTGGTTATTTCATTTTTGTACTGAAGGTAAATTCAAACAAAATCTGCCAAAACAAGCATTTAAAAAATTATATCCCATAGAGGTGAAAATAACAGAACAAGACTAACTGGTTCGAAAAAATAAAGGTTGGGACTACATTTCCTGAAAATATCAAATTTTGATTTATCCCTCTACATACCTCATGATTTTGGAGGGCAAAGTTGGCTAATTTTGAAAACTTTTAAGATTTGTTTTCTCTAAGAGAATAAAAGTCCAAAAACTTAAAACAACGTTTACGTGTTCTATTCTGCCGTGCTTAATGAAAACGCCGTAACCAACAATTTTGAGATTTTTGTTTTACGGCATTTTCTACTAGAACAATTCATCCTGCGTCTATCCCTGGTACTCAAAATATATATATAGATATAGATACGGTTTTTTGAGTACCGGGGATAGACGCAGGATGAATTGTTCTAGTAGAAAATGCCGTAAAACAAAAATCTCAAAATTGTTGGTTACGGCGTTTTCATTAAGCACGGCAGTATTATATGTCTACAATTATTATTAACCAAGTGAGTTTTTCTAAATAACATTTTATTTGCAGACGATATGGCCACCAAAACGATGAATCAGTTTACTGACGATCTTTTAAAAGAAAAAATATTCCACTGCCAGATTTGCGATGAGCTTTGCACGTCCGATGTTTTCCTGGTCAAAGGGAAAGGAAACGTGTGTGCGAACTGTTTTGAAGAAAAGTGTGGGGAGGAAATGAAATCCAGGGCTGAATTAAACACAGCCCTCATCCTAATTATGGCCAAGCTGATGCTGCCGTGCAAATATCAGTCCAGTGGTTGCGATAAGAGGGTGGAGTCCAAAAAGTACTCCAAGCACATTGCTACTTGTGATTTCAAAATTAAACCGTGCCCGATGAAAAATCTGGAGGGTTGTGATTGGAGTGGAAGCAATTTCGAAGTAAGCGGACATTTATTGGAAAATCATCAAGAGCACGTCATTAAAAGTGAAAATAATATTTTTAAAGTTGAGTCGTCCTTGTGTGAACCTTTCAACGTAAAGTTATTATCTGATGATTACCGAAATTGCCTTTTAAAGATTTCAGTTGTTGATGATAAATTTTATTACGCTTTAAATCCGGTTGAAAAATCCGGGAGAAATATGGAATACTCGGTGGAGCACAAACGTATTCAAACATCAAACCATTTAGTATTAAAAAGCGTTGGTACACTTACCAAACTGAATGGTTTTTATAACGAAGAAAACCTGGATAAAAACCCCAACGCGACTGTGGTTGACATCAATCTGTTGAAACATCTTGCAGACGAACAAAATATGATTTTAAATGAATTTGACTTAAAACCTGCAGAAATCGACAATAATACATTAAAACTATTGGAATGTCCAGTCTGTATGAATACCATGCGACCGCCAATTTATAATTGCACCAACGGACATAGCATTTGCATAATATGCAAAGAACTAACAAATGAATGTCCCACATGTAAGGAAGGGTGGACCAGTTCAAGGTGTTACTTTATAGAAAATTTAACTTCAAAAATCAAGTATCCATGCAAATATAGTAAATTGGGATGCAACGAAATTGACATCGACAGGCAATTAAAGAAACACGAAGAAACATGTCCGTCGCATAACTATCAATGCCCGATGAATTGTTCTAAAACTGGAAACTATGAATTCATTGAAGAACATTTAATGACTGAACATGAGGATGCGGAATTTACTGAAGAGATAGAATACAACATATCTTGTCATGAAAAGCTTAAATGGATGCTGTTTGATATGAATTTTTTTAGAATATCGTATTATTCTATGCATTTTAATGTTTATTGGGCTGTCGAATTGGTTTGCTCCAATGAAAACCCCAAATTGTATACTTATGAAGTTGAAATTTTAAATCATAAAAGGGCATTAGGATGGACATTAGTAAAAGATTCCACTTGCTTGAAAGAAAGAACGCAGCGACCGTTACAACCAATATCAGACTGTTTGCATTATTCTTATCGATATGGTATGACATTTAATGTTACTATTAAAAAAAGTAATTAATTACACTGTGCACCAAAAAATTATTTTTTAACCCAACCCAACTTGGGAACATGAAAAATGGATACTTTGTTTTACAAAAAAATGAAAATGTGTTTTTCATATTAGGTTCAGTTTTAGAGATGTTATGTTTTTATTTTAGCTATTTTTGGATTTTTGTTTACTGTATCCATTTTTCATGGTATCAACCCAGATATTTTTTATTAAATGTTATAACACACTTTTAACAAACTTTGTTTTACTTTTGTAAATCCTTTATTATATTTAACATGCGTTCTGTGTTTTACTTTATTAGCTATATTATGTTTAAATAAAATTAAAAGCATATACTAAAATAAATGTATGTATATTTATTAAACCCATACTATCCAACAGAGAAGTATTTATAATAATCTGGGTTAAATTATTTAAAATTTGCTAGGCTAATTTGTTCGTATTATATTAGTATGACGTTACGTTGAATTTATACAAATGTTCATTTAAATTTTTGCGCATATTGGTAAACAATTATTTTTACTTTCAAAATATAAATATTTTCCCTAAAAGAAAACGATTAAGAATAATTAAAAACAGTTTAAATTATTTTGAATAGTTTTTTGGTATTTGTTTGAATTGTTTATTGAATCGGAAATTTAAATAAAAAATATTATTTCAATTATTTTCAATCGGAACTAATATAAGTTTTTTGTTTTTATCGATCAAAATCGGAGAATATTGTACTGAGATTTTAATCACTTTTTATCCACAACTGTCATTTTCACAGCTGTCATTACAGCACCTGTCATTTTGACAGATGTAATTTTGGCACCCGTAATTTTGACAGCTGTAATTTAGGCATCTGTTATTTTGACAGATGTCATTTTGACTTCCATTTTTGCACTTGTCATTATGACAACTGTCATTATGACAACTGTAATTACGACAACTGTCATTACGACAACTGTCATTATGACGACTGTCATTACGACAACTGTCATTATGACAACTGTCATTATGACAACGGTCATGATGACAACTGTCATTATGACAACCGTCATTATGACAACTGTCATTGTGACAACTGTCATTATGACAACTGTCATTATGACAACTGTCATTATGACAACTGTCATTATGACAACTGTCATTACGACAACTGTCATTACGACAACTGTCAAATTATTGGTTGTCGAAATGACATCTGACAAAATAACATGTGCCTAAATAACAGCTGTCAAGATGACAGCTGTCAAAATGACTGGTTAAAAAATAATGGCGCTCATAACGACAGTAGTCATAATGACAGCTGTCATTATGACCATCGTTATTTTGACAGTTGTCATAATGACATTTGTCATTTCGGCACCCATCATTTTGACAACTGTCATTATGACAACTGTCATTGGGACAACTGTCATTATGAACGCCGCAATTTTGGTACCAGTCATTTTGACAGCCGTCATTTGTCACCTGTCATTTTAACAAATGTCATTTCAGCACCTTTCATTACGACACCTGTAATTTAGGCACCTGTCATTTTGACAGCTGTCATTTCGACCAAAATTGACGAAATCGAATTAAATCCAATTCGGACCGATTGAAATTGGGTAAAAAAATTAATAAACCTCAAAAACTGATTTTCTCACCTCAAAATCCAAAAAATCGATTCTCATCTGGGTAACATTTGCGTTCGTCTTTAAAACCCTAAAGATGCAAGACAGCGTATTGGAAGTCTCCTGCCTCGCATAGCCGGGCCAAAAATCGAAATTTGATTGGGTGTAGTGGTAGTACTTCCATCGTGGATCCGGCGTGGGATTCACTGTAGTCGGAGCTTGCGTGGTTGGTATCACCATACCAGTGTCGTTAGCTGGGTAATAGTTGGGATAGTTCGGACTCTCGAAATAGGTGCAGTTCTGTCCCGAACTCCCTCCACAAGTGTTCTTAACTGAAACAGCTCTTTAAATCACGAGCCACCGAGGAATAAAATACTCACAAACACAGCACACCCCGTATCCGTTGGCACAGTTTCCCATGGAAGTGCCATTCAACCTGACGCAGTCACTGGAGTAGTAGCAAACACCATCGTAGGTGCCAGAGGAACTGGTCACTGTGCATTTGGAGTTTGAAAATTGGACCACTTGAAACAAACTCAAAAATTTGTTGGCGATCTTGATGGTCTTGTTTTTTACCGCTGAAATAGCTCCATCTAGAAATTTGGAGTTGGATGGGTTTAACTCGTTTTTGGGAATCTTATAGATTGTCGGGTTAGAGTAGGTCTTAACTGTTGTATTATACTTCTGTAAGTATAATTTGTTAATGTACTTCTTCAACATATCATTCACTTCAGCCTTGGTATTATTCTTCACCAATACAATATTACTATTGTACATATATTTGGGGATTCTTTCTACATAAGCTGTATTATTCCTATAACTATATTTTTGGGTTTTGAATTTTGGTCTTGCATTACTATACAAATTCAGAGGTACCATATTATCCACATATTCATCATTTACATTCCCCAAATTTTCGACATTAAAATTGCTGATATCGTGTCCATTTTCATAGTTTGGTCTTTTAACTTCATAGGTGTTTCTGGTATAACCCACAATATCACTTGGACTTAAATCAACTATTTCACCAAATTCCGATTCTATATCATCATTTTTATGATCTATTTTTTTTATAGGATCTCCTACAAGAAACATTTTATAAGAAAAAATCGAACCTACACCTCGCCAAAGTTTCTTGTTTTGAGTGCGTTCCACCAACTTCAAATACCGACAGACAGCTGTTTCGACCTATATTGGGTCTCAGTGTCGGGCAACTTGGTGTAGTGGAACACAGGTAAACTTTCAATTTCAATCTAATCTGACTTATCCCACAAAATTTTTCAATTTTTCTTTTTATGAAATAATGTCATACAACTTATGGTTTAGAGGTCAAATTGTTTATTTAATATTTTTAAATAAATATATACTAATATGTCGCAAAATTTTTTAACAAATACATTTCACAGTCATATTATGACAGTGAGGCTTATTTGTCGTCTCCTGAAGAATTTTACGAATGTAGAATACAACATATTGGAACGTGGGTATCTGACATTTGAAAATATTCTCAAAAAGGGTATCTATTGAATGTTTTAAAAGTCCCTAAGAACATTCTTAGCAATAAGGGAAGGTTCTAAGAATATTCCATTATTCCGGGTCATATCTTCTTAGAAGATTCTTAAAATTAAATTTTGCTATCAGGGATTATTTTTTTCAGTGTAATTGCCACTCATTTTTACTTTACTATCTATAATTCTACTTGGGAAAGAAACACCCATTTAAACTTACTTATAAAGTGCTCCTTGGGATTTCTTCTGATTTCACTGTATTGTTTCAAAACTTCTTCAAAATTGTCATGGTTGGTATAAATGTCGACAAATTTCGGCGTATGTACAGGGTGTTTATTAAACTTGCTCCATGATTTTTTTAAATCACAGTTCACAAAAATTAACAACAAAAAACACAAGAGTATACTTTTAAACATATTCTTTCAGTTTATATTTTAACCACTTTATCTTTTCCCGTGTGCACTTAACTAGGTATAAAGCAAAATGAACAACCATGAAAACTATAATTTTACTGCGACAACTTAGACACACTTAGTAAAAATAAAATTTGTGTTATACAGAGCGTATAAAAATTATGTGTTCCAGAAAATAAACCTCTTATTTGTTGAAAATTTAATGCTTTAACTAATTCAAGTTAATGGCTCTTAAAGAGAAAAAAAAGTCTAAATATGTAATTGTGTATATTTTTGCTGGAATAACCCATATAAAAAACGTGCAAACTAATACAGGTAGAAAATGTATAAATAAAAACTTTTAAATAATTTATGACGTTTAGTTATTTGTGGATTGGAACAGATCAATAACAAAACAATATGAACGTATTTATGATGGAAGTGTGACGTGGTAAAAACCCACACTTATTATATTTTGTCTATTAAATTGTCTGACACAAATTCCTTATAAGTTAATTTAAAAAACATTATCTTAATGCGTGAAATTTTATGGTGTCTGCACAAAAATTTACCATCAAAATTTACTCACATTAGAAATTAAATAGCATAACAATTTTACACACAAAAAAATAAAAATTTCATTTTAAATTTTATGCATTATCTCGTAACACTAATGCTCTTATTGCGATCTCCAAGATTGCTTTAAAACTGCAATAAAACTTAAATAAAATAAAACCAAATGTTTTTAGAGATTTTTAAAACATTCAATAGAAACCCTTTTAATGATGCAAATAGATTCTTAAAAGCTTCTTAAAACCTTCCTAAAAAGCATCCTAAGAACATTTTAAGAATACGTTTTTGGAATGTTCTTAGAAGGTTTCTTATGGAGCTTCTAGAAAGCTTTTGAGAATATTCCCAAATATGTCAGATACCCACGTTCTAATATGTTGTATTCTACTTTCGTAAAATTCTTCAGGAGACGACAAATACGCCTCACTGTTATAATATGACAGTGAAATGTATTATGTATTAGTATTAAATACTTAGTAAAAAACACAACATATTTTTTTATAGTTATTTGGCAAATTAAAACAATATTCGATAACAAAAATACTTTTACTATAGGTATTTTATTTTATGTTAAAAATAAATATTTATTAATTTGTATACCGATTTTTTTATTTATGAATTAACATTTTTATGTATAATAACCCTAACTATCTTCAACTTCAATCTAATCTGACTTATCCCACAAAATTTTCCAATTTTACTTTTTATGAAATAATGTCATACAATTTATGGTTTAGAGGTCAAATTGTTTATTTCATATTTTTAAATAAATATATATTAATATGTCGCAAGATTTGTTAAGGGGACGACAAATACATTTCACTGCCATATTATGAGTATCTGACATATTTGGAAATATTCTCAAAAGCTTCGTAGAAGCTCCATAAGAAACCTTCTAAGAACATTCCAAAAACGTATTCTTAAAATGTCCTTAGGATGCTTTTTAGGAAGGTTTTAAGAATCCTATTGAATGTTTTAAAAGTCCCTAAGAAGGTTCTAAGAATATTCCATTATTCCGGGTCATATCTTCTTAGAAGATTCTTAAAATCAAATTATGATACTAACATTTACAATTAAAATAGGTAAAAATAACATAAATAAAACTTATTAAATAACTTACACCCTGTTTAAATTTTTGAAACCGTTGTGGAGGTAATAAAAATGGATTCCCATGCATTTTTAAATAATGAAACTGATATTTTTTAATATTAATATTAATATCAATATTAATTAAATGAGGAAGAAGGACGGAAAGCTTAAAATATGTAGGTTAAAATTGATTTTGTTATGTTATATATCTCCGTTTCTATGGCATTGGTTAATAAATTATTAATATGTCCCATCACAGAATACAGGGAATATTTCATTTGTCCACGAAATGCGTTAAACACATCGGCAACCTTAGCAAATCGCATATCAACAGTTAATGCTACGATTTTTTTTTATCAAAATGTTTAAAATTTATTATTACTTAATGAATTTTTTTTTCAAAATAAATGGTTAATAAATAGTTTTGTTATTGCTTAAACGCATCTAACTGTAGTGAAAAAAATTGTGGGCCCCAATAAGAAAAAAAAACATGGATAATAAAGATGTCAACACGTTATTCATAGAATCTGAAAAAATCCCCCAGTCACAAGGTAACAATATTTATTTATTTTACTGCAATGTTCAATTATCTTTTTATTACATATTATAACCAATACCTTCAAAAACATTAAACAAATAAAAGTACTTTTAAGTACAGTTTCTGAAATATCTGTTTTCTAACTTTGAGCATATTATACATTAAATATCTTAAAATCAAATAATACCACACATCAGTGGCGGCTGGTGGATTTTGGGTATACCGATATCTCAATTATTAGATACGGGACCCACACCAAATTTATATGAGTTTATAATGACATTAAATAAACAAGTTCTGCGCAAGCAGAATTTAAATTGAAGTTTGAGAAAAAAAGATAACCGAAACATCGATCATGGAACTGACGACACGGTACTGATGAATGGGATACAAATTTGAGATTATAATTGTATAAATTTCAATTAAATATATATACGTAAGAAAATAACTACTCACCACAGTACCAGTAACTATACGTGCATTCACCACAACTTCGCCGCTTGCATTGTTTTCAAGATGACTGTCGTGCAAAGGGCGGGCTCTGTAGGTAATTTTTTACCAACACTTGAGTTAAAACGAGGACTTGACGTTTAAACTTCAATATTTCGCAGGAATGTTGAATTTTAACATTTTAACATTGACGGGTAAAAGTGAGTACAAAGATCATCAATTTTTTAAAAATTGCTATTATTCGAATTTATGATAAAATATGAAGAATACATTATTTAATGTTTTATAGTTTAAACTACAATTGTAGTGAAATTGAAAAATTTAAGATAAATTGAATATATTTTAAAATAAAATCACCCAAATATTTGATTCAGGAGTTATGACACGTCAAGGTACTGATGTTTTGAATATTTATTAAGTTTTTCTACAAACGTGCTTTTGAAAAAATACATTAAATTTGGGTGGACAAGTTAAAAAAACCTGGATCTTTTGTAATGTACTAAAATATTTACAAAAAATATTAAAATACCTAGTATATTGACTGATGACATCAAGTTGTCCAACTTTTGTAGAATCACCCATATAAAATTTGTATATAATAGCTAATTCTAATAATATTGAGTTAATATAAACTGAAAACATAAATTACAAACTAAAGTAAATAGCAAGCTGATCAATAATGTAGCACAGTAGGAACATAGAAACACTTTTTATCCGCATTTGATCACCAGGTCATAATTATTGATTTTTCCCGGTCCCTGAACAATTTTGCAAATACCTACCTACCTATAGGTAAATAATATTCAATAATTATTCACCAGAAATGTGGTACTAACCTCACAATGATACACTTCCTAACACCAACTAAAACTTATTTCAAGCGGGAAATCATTTTATTGGTTATCTTAGGTGGTGTGATGCTTTACTCCCGAACAAATTGTCCAATATTGTGAAATTTATATTCCAACTCAAAGTTATACGAATGTTTTTTTATATTTAACAGAGGGTAGTAATTAAACAATATTTTATTATTGATTTTTCATTATAATTAACTTGACCTTTATTGATTTAATTAGGTAAAAAAAGCAGTAGGCAAGACTGTTATGTTAAATAAACATAAAGATTCTAAATATTTTTAAATATTTAGAAAAGAAGTCTTTAAAACTCACATGTTTTTTTTGAATTTGTATCGATTAAATTCCAATAGGTTTATTATGTAATTCGCATAAAAAATGTATTGGAAATTTAACAGTAATTTTCCAACCATTCCTCATTACATGCGACCTGAATTTTTCATTTCATTGCGTGCGATGAGGTGTTAGATGAAACTTGGGCACGCCAGTGCCAAGTAATACCAACCTCTATTCACACCTCGTCGATTAACTTCGGTCGTGTTGGCAATAATACCGTATTTGTTGACTGGCCACCAAGACACCAAGATTTAAAGCCCATCGACTTTTTTTTCAGGTTCATCGAGAAGGCCGAGCAACGAGAGCACTTGCAGCCTTAACGTGCCCTCGGAACGTTTGGACACCCCTCAAATTCAACCGATATCGGGGAATTTCAACGACAAAAGCAGATCTCAATCCCTGGTGAACATATCGAGATTTCAGAAAAATTTTTCCGTGCCGGAAGGAGAAAAACAATTGAATGGGATAGAAGAAATTCCCAAGGACTGCGTCAAATCCAGGAGAGGGTCACTCCAATCAGAACGAGTGAGTGTTGGAGTTTTACCGCACTAGTACAGTAATGACAGCACCCCACCCAAGCCTTAAGACTTTCTTAGAACCTAAAGGTCTTATAATTGCTTTAATGAGGTTCTCACAGCTTTTATAAAACCTCCTATGACACCTTCCACTATAGTTCTATTAATATTTTAAAAATAATAACGAAAAATCGACCTGTACATCATAGTCATTAATATTAAATGACCCGCCAGGTGTTCACAGGCGTACAACCAACATTTAATAATGAAAAACCGTTCATTCTTGAAAATTCTCCAGTTTCTATTAATAGACAAAAGTCAAAATGTCAGATATAAAAATAGCCACTTATTTTATAAATAAAGCATATTACGTCAATTGACGTAATCGAAAGGGTGAATATAGCTTTTGATGACGTCCAACAAAAGTTGGACAACTTGATGTCATCAGTCAATAGAGTAGGTATTTTAATATTTTTTGTAAATATTTTAGTATATTACAAACGAGTTTTTTTAACTTGTCCACCCAATTTTAATGTATTTTTTGGCGTGTCACAACTCCTGAATCAAATATTTGTGCGATTTTATTTTAAAATATATTCAATTTATATTAAATTTTTCAATTTCACTACAAACTATAAAACATTAAATAATGTATTCTTCATATTTTATCATAGATTCGAATAATAGCAATTTTTAAAAAATTGATAATCTTTGTACTCACTTTTACCCGTCAGTTCTGTGTCCAATGTTAAAATTCAAAATTCCTGCGAAATATTAAAGTTTAAACGTCAAGTGCTCGTTTTAACTCAAGTGTTGGTAAAAATTACCTACAGAGCCCGCCCTTTGCACGACAGTCATCTTGAAAACAATTCAAGCGGCGAAGTTGTGGTGAATGCACGTATAGTTCCAGTCAAAATTTCAGTACTGTGGTGAGTAGTTATTTTCCAACGTATATATATTTCATTGTAATTTATGTAAGGCTATATGTGATTTGTTGATAAGTAGCATCCTCTAATAAAAAATATCAGTAAAATACTCAATTCCGAATTATAATCTCAAATTTGTATCCCATTCATCAGTACCGTGTCGTCAGTTTCATATTCGATGTTTCGGTTATCTTTTTTTCGCAAACTTCAATTTAAATTCTGCTTGCGCAGAACTTGTTTATTTAATGTCATTATAAACTCATATAAATTTGGTGTGGGTCCCATATCTAATAATTGAGATATCGGTATACCCAAAATCCACCAGCCGCCACTGATGTGTGGTATTATTTGATTTTAAGATATTTAATGTATAATATGCTCAAAGTTGCAATAAATCTTATATTTTCCAACAAATTATGTATTTAATTAGTACCCTGGTATACTCGTCACTTCCCTTGCATTCAAATTTAGAAAACACAGATGTTTCAGAAACTGTTTGAAAAAGTGACTGGCCCGGTCTGGAACAGTATATTTATTATATTATCTATGTTCTCATAACAAAATACTGTTTAATTTTCTCCGAAAACTATATAAGTAAACAAAATGAGGTCAAAAGTTGCCCAACTTTTGTAGAATCACCCTTATATGTTTTAGTAAATCACGATACCAAAGTGAGATAGCAGACTGGAGAACCTTATTAATATTATTATAACTGAAGATTGTTTTTTTTTTCAGGTGAAATTTAACAATTTCTCTTCTATAAAAGATGCCTTTGGTCCTCAATTAATAAACGATTCGTACAGGGCGATACCAGGAACGCCAATACCATCAATGGTTGTTCAAGATTCACCTGAAGAAGAATTGAAGGAAATTACAAACTCCAACACACCGGAAAAGGATGTGGTAAATGTCAAATGTCTGATTTCAGCAATATTCACATGTATTCATTTCACGAATTTGATTTTTCAAGTCTTCTATATACTTTTGCAGTACACTGTTCAAAATTTCAATTAACACCATACATGGTCTATATCGATTCAAACCAAAATGGTGTTAAATATGGTTCGTTGGTCCAGTGTAAATTCAAATACTAAAATAGTTTAAATTTAACTTTCACACAGTATTAAAATAAATTTTACCTGGTGTAAATTGAACTCCTTTTCAGTGTTAAATATTATTATTTGGTCAAATTAAATCATACTATATATTTTCTGTATACAGAAAAAAAGGAAACAGGAAGTTCCTTGACGCATTACTAGTATATTACCAGTGGTATTATTCCAGAAAATTGAACCTTCAACTCGCTAGAGATAATGTTTTTAGTGCGTTCCACCAACTTAAAATACTTCAAGTATTGACAGCTGTTTCCACCTATTTAAGGTCTCTTTAGTATCGAACAACTTGTAGTGTCACTCCAAAGCAAAGGACTACCTGAGCTTATATACTCTTGATGTAAGTCAACAGAGGCGAGATTTAAGAACATCACGAGATCCACACCGCCTTTGCCGCGATCGGTACACACTATGCAACCAGGAATGCACGGCAAATTGTTTTAATCGTTTTAACAGAGTGCTTTTGGTTGAAGTAACTCTTATTTTACAAACAACATATTTAGTAAATCGAACCATACAGCGGGTTGGTTTCTGGGTTAATTTAACCAATTAAAAAAAAAATAATAACTATCTAGTTTAGTACCGTCAAACTAATCTTTGTTTATATTAACCTTCCCACAGTTGATTTAAATAAATACTTATGGGTCAACTAAATTAATATAGTTAAATGAACTATTCCTTTTTTTCTGTGTAGGTGCACTTCTCAAATATTTTTAGATAAACACCGTTTTGGTGTTTGCTGTATATAACATTTTCAACCATAATTCATGGTGTTATATTAACACCACTTGGTGTTGGATTTTGACACCATTTTAAGATTACACTTTACACCACAGGTGTCAGATCCTGAAAGTCTTTATTTTCGTGACGGAAGACGAAAAATTGACATGGTGTTGGTTTTTGAAGAAGAAGAGTTTGGTGTCATGACTGAAGCAGAAGCTAGGAGGAGAGACAATAGAAGGGTTTTTCAGGTAGATTTTCACTAGATCTTCTATAGAACACCATTTGGCTTTTGGATATCTGATTTTGTTCTCTTTTAGTACTGGTTGAGACCATTTGATATAGTGGAGGCTCAGTATTAAAAAAACAGAGATGCAAAAGCAAAATGGTGTCCCATTTGGGCCATATATATTACTAATATTCATTACAGGAAAATTTGATCAAAGAGGGCCTGGAACTGGAGCTGGAACACAAAGATATATCTTTCGATGGTAAAACGTGGTTCTTAAAAATCCATCTGCCTTGGAAAACAAAAACACGCTACGCTGCCGTGATGGGAATGAAGCTGCCAATCAAGAGGTTCATCACAATATCAGTGAAAGCCTGGGTAAGTTAATATTTTTATCTCCACGCGGTCTATAATTTAAACTTTATTGTCAACATTCGGTAAAGAAATACCTTGATATGGCCTAGGCCGATAACAATTTTTATGAGGCAAGTAATTAGTTCGATTTTTTCTCGCTAGGGGTATCGTTTTGACAAATTAATCCTTTTCTAAGAAATTAACGTACCAAACTGGTTTAATTTATTTATAATAAGCACTAATTTGTTTGTTTTACTGTTAATGTTTCATATTTTTCATTAAATTATTGTAAAATTAAATATGAATAATAAAACAAAAAGTGAGGTTAGGCAACCAAGAAAACGCACGATTCTTTTTCTACGATTTAAATTATCTTTAAGTTTTAATTTGCTTAAACTACTACCTATTTTTTAAATAAAAATCCAAACAAATTGAAATTAGATACCTACCTATTTATTAAACAATTAATTGAATTCAATGAAATAGCAAAAATCCATTTCTACTTAAATCATGTTGCTAGGTATTGTCAAACTATTACTGCTTCTAAAAGCAATAATAATTATTGTACATTTAATGTAATCTTTAGCTAATAAATAAATGAGATTCTAAAAAAGTGAGGTTAGGCCGCTTTGATGTTGAATTAAATTGACCTATATAAAGTGCTTTGAAGATAAAATGTCGTATGCCATTCGGCCAAGAAGTGCCTTTTTGTGCTTCGCTCAATTGAGCTTAGCACAAAAAGCCTTGCTTCTTAACCTAATGACATAAATAACTATTAATGCAGTATTAATTACAGTGAATATGACAAGAAAATAGTGCAAGAATAAAGAGCTCTGATTGGCCGGCCAGGTCTCCAGATTTGACTCCTCTAGATTTTTTATGTTAAGTAATTTAAAACGTCCAGTGTTAAAGTTGTATTTTTAGAAATTTCAATGCTTTTAGACGATTATATCTTGAAATTATTGATATTTTATTTTTACATTAACTTTGGTATCATAATAATAAGGTCACAGAACGTTTGTATCAAACGTAATTTAAATTATTGTAGGAGTAAACGTTGACATTTGTAATAGGTTAGATTTAAACAGGAGATAGCAGTATTAATCTATTTTTTAAATGTCCTACATATTGTTTAAACATGAACAAACACGCCTTTTCATCAATATTTTTATCGTACTAATCCCAAGCAACAATTTAAGTATTTGTTACGTATATGGGACTATTGAAGAAACTTTAAAGTGTTTTGCGACAGTCGCCAGTCTCTTTATATTACTCTTTCATTACTAAGTTACGGCTAAAGTGGGGAACAATTATTGAGTTCCAAAAAGGTAACAAATATGCCACTAGCTATAAACCCTGCTACTATTTGGAACGTAGCTGCTACGTTACTAGAACGTTTCAATATCGTTGCTAGAGCGTTATAATTACTTTTATTTATTTGTTTTTACTTCTGTATTAACTGTCTTTGTCAAACTTATATTAGATTATACTATCCCTCCTTTTTTAAATGGAACCACTACGGACTTGGCTTTTCAATGTCGTCGTTTATTAAATATGTACTGGTAGTTTATAACTTCCATAATAACAGTATAATGTTTAATTAGGCAGGTAAATTTATAAACCCTTTAAATTTTACTGTTGAACTTATGAATTTAGTTTTTGTAAAATAAATGCGCTTCATCAATATTTTAGTATAAACAAATTATTTATTTAATAATGTTTATAAATAAAAAAATCTTAATATTTATTATTAATTTTTTATTTAATTATTACCAACAAAATTACTATTTATTAAAAAGTAAACAACCATTTACAAACAATTAAAATAATTTATTATTTACATTACCACGTGGTACTGTACAGTAAAAAATGGCCGATAAGAAGCATTTTCCTTTGAAGTAGTTTTCGCTACTTTAAAGTTTTTTCCACCTTTATTTACTTTACGGTAGTTTTGGTTAGTACCATAAACGTTCCAAATACTAAAATAATAACTTTGTAGTTTTTAACTCATGTTCCAGTTTCGAGATTTTAACTTGCAAAGGGACTACAAAGTAAAAATAATTATAATGTAATCTTTAGGTAGCAACCGAAAGTAACTGCTACAAATTAAATTTACTTGAAAGTTTTTTTACTTATAACACCTTTTTTAAAGTTGCAAAGTCTTCTTGGGGGCAACCAAGATTTACTTAAATGTTTATTACTTTATAGTAACCATTTAAGGAAAGAATTAAGTTTCTGTTACAAAATATTGCTATTTAAAAGTCAAATAAATATTTTACTTAAATCTTGTATTTTTTTATTTAAAATTCTATTTGACTACAATCTACCATTTCTTATTTTTTAGGATGATGAAAAAAATCAAAACAAACAGGATGGTCTTTGGAACAGGTGGTCTAGGCGAATTAGAGAGTTTAGCGAATATAATCATGACTTAATTCATAAGGAGCCATCGTTTTACGACGCTACTGAAGGGGCTGACAGGGAAGAACAGTAAGATTTTTATATGTTCATCTCACCATTCCGCAAGTATAAAGTCTATTCAAATCCAAGCTGGACTAAACAAAAACGCCCAGACGCGTGATAACTCGTTTCTATTGGTCGAATCTGATGGTGTGACTCGGATTGTGAGCTCTTATTGGTCGATTCGGAGGATTGTGTTTACATTTAGTCCAGCTTGGATTTGAATAGACTTTAGATACTTTTTATTTAAGGATTGATTTATTCTTATTCGTAATTTAAAGTAATACTTATTTGAAGGTTATAGGGAGTTAATTGCAAGAACTAACCTATACTTATTTGGATATAATTTCAATGTTAGGTGCAAGGGTAAACTTATTCTTATTTCAAGAAAAACTATCATATTATTTTAAATACAAGCACCCTCAAATAAAATATACACTATGCTTAATTTATGTAAGTTAAGCAATAATTGTTTCAAATATTGTCTATTCTTTTTTAAACTTTTGCTAGACTTTAAATAAAGGTTAGGATGTAATGACCATGTTTATTTCAAAAGGTAAAGAGTGGATAATGCTATCTCTTTTTTTCTAAGACTGATAGAGAAAAATATATAGGATAATCCATTCTTTACCTTTTAAAATAAACATGGTCATTATATCCTAACCTTTAAAGTCGAGCAAAAGTCTAGAGGTTTTTTTATAGTTCTAGAGGTAAAATATACATAATTGTTTTTTATGTAATTCCAAACCAAATATTAACTAACACAAGAAACAATCTTCCAAAATGTCGGACACTTTCGTGAGTGGGGGATATTTTTAAGAATATGCCAGTCGTACCAATATTTACTATAGTAAAGATTATAATCTTAGAATAAATATAATTATATTTATATCCATTATAGTTTTATATCTTTAAGAACAGAATAGAAGGCATATTTCCCAAAATTTGGTTTAATTGATTGTTAATCTTAAATTAAGAATAAGATTATTTCATTTAAAGCCTTTCTTAACATTTAACAGGCAAGAATAAGATCTGTTTGTTTGAAGAAAGATTAATATTTAGTTTAATGTTAGTTTTAGCCTTGACAATATTAGGTCAATCATCTTGTTTCAACTGTACTTGATTTTAAGAATAAAGGCATTCTTTCCGTGTACAATACCCACAAATATTAAATTAATAATTCTGTTTTTCAGATTCGTTGTAAAAGACCGAGTAACCAGTTTCTCAAGTGCCCAAAGAAGCTTAATCGTTATGCAGATTCTTTTGAGGGTGAAATTTGATGACACAGATAAGGTATTTTTTATTTATTTTATTCTATATAAATAGTAAACTCTTTGATGATATTCATCTTAAACTTCATTTGAAAAAAAAATATGATTTTATACACTTTTTTAGAATTTAAAAATCTGACCCTTTAGAATAGTGTAAAAGTAAGAAAGAACCTCGTTTGAAAAAAAATTCCCACTTTTATAGGATTTTTTCTGATTTTTTTTTTTGGTAAAGTGGTCGGGGATCAATTTTCAAATTAATTTATGGATCTGAAACTTTGGGAGTACCTTTAGAAGGGTCTAAAAGTAGGAAAAACTTTTTAGGATATTTTCTATTTTTTTTAGGTTGGCATTAGAAGATTGTTAAACGATTCAACTTACATTGCATGTTTTCCCTTGCATGAAGGGAGGTGGGACAGAGAGACAGCTGACGGAAAAATATTAGACAGGAGGCTGTTATATTTGGAATGGGCAAGGCCTGCAAAATGTCTAAAAAGGCAACCTCTTAATTTAGTTAGAAGATATTTTGGTGACAAAATAGGTTTATATTTTTGTTGGTTAGGATTTTACACTAAAATGCTCATTGCCCCTGCCATAGTTGGTACGCTTTGTTTCCTATACGGTATTTTTACCATAGACAGTGACGATAACATGCCAACGTAAGAAAATAAAAACAACTAAATTATAGAAAAAAAAAATATTTTTTTTAGTAAAGAAATCTGTGATCCAATAGGACCGGGCAACATAACGTTGTGCCCTCTATGTGATAAAGCGTGCAAATACCAAAAACTAAAGGAGAGCTGTAAATTCGCGAGGTTGACATATTTATTCGACAATCCGGCAACGGTGTTTTTCGCCATCTTTATGAGTTTGTGGGGTAAATACACAAATAAAAAAATTACATATAAAATATTTTTATTGATGATTTTTTAAGCCACTGTGTATTTGGAGTTGTGGAGGAGGAAACAAAATGTTATCCAATGGGAGTGGGATCTACAGGATACTGAAATAGACGAGGAACCTAGGCCAGGTAATTATACACTGTTCAAAACAGTGTATACCCGACCATAGTTAAAGTCAAACTCAATGGTGTCTTACAAGATACATTACTTTGATTTTCTATATTCATATTCAATATCTTTAACATATCCAGTCTCTGAATTTGTAGTTTTTGTTCCATATTTTTGCAGATCACTGTATGTATATAAATTGATATATTTTTTTGCCCTCAAGAGTTCGAAACCAGCGTAAAAACATTCAGGACGAACCCTGTCACCAGGGAAAAAGAACCATTTTTACCAACGTGGTCTAAAGGACTTCGATTCGCTGCCACTGGATCTTCAGTTTTCCTAATGGTAAGAACTTTTTTTTGGTCAAATTGCACCAATAACTTTATTTTTAGTTAGTAGTAGTACTGGGTACCGTATTGGGTACCATAATCTATAGACTGTCTCTAGTCTCGGTAATCTATGGTAGCGGGACGTATTTCATGAAAAAACATGCCAAAATAGTCACGTCTGTATCAGCCGCCTGCATAAACTTAATCATCATTATGTGTCTAACTAGGGTGAGTTATTTGACCCTTTGCAACAACCAGAATAACCATAATTAATCTAAATTTCCTCATATTTTGTTGCAGTTTTACCATAGGATAGCTTTATACTTAACAAACTTAGAGAGCCCTCGAACCCAGACTGAATACGAAGATTTGTACACGTTCAAAATTTTTCTATTTGAATTTATGAACTACTACTCTTCTCTGATATACATAGCCTTTTTTAAGGTAAGCTAGAAATGACTTGTACTATGCTCCACACCTCAAAGTCCCACCACGCCAAATGCCAAATTTTCAAAAGACTGCGTTCCGTACGTGGTCACGTGGTGGGACTTTGAGGTGTGGAGCATAGTACATGTATGTATACAAAAAAATCATATTGCAACCTCTAGGGTCGCTTTTTCGACTACCCAGGGGACCAAAAGACGCGCCAGTCTGAATTTTTGCGGGTCAAGGGTGACATATGCGACCCAGCCGGCTGTTTGAGCGAATTGTGCATACAACTGTCGATAATAATGGTGGGGAAGCAGGTTTTCAACAATTTCGTGGAACTTTTCAACCCGTTTTTCTACAACTGGTGGAGAAGGCGCTCCCATAGAAGCAACACGAAAGATTTGAATAGAAAACACACTAGGTGGGAGGAAGACTACCATTTGCAAGACCCTGGAAGATTGGCGTTATTCGATGAATATTTGGAAATGAGTGAGTGGTCAAAGATGTGTATAGGATGACTCCCCGTTTGAATACTATATCTTAAAGTTTGAATGTACGACTATAGTTAAAGTCAAACTCAATGGTGTCTTACGAGATACATTATTTTGATTTTCTATATTCAACAGAGAGGTAGAAACTCGACCCTGTCGAATGGCGCAGTCGTTTATGTCTCTGGAAATTATCGAAAAAGGGGGCAGTCCAATGGTGCAGCAACTTCGGATTCTTATTCTCTTCAGAGACGTAGAAACTCGAGCTTTTCGAATTTCACTGGCAATTATTTTCGTTCATGTCCCCGAGAATTATAAAAAAACAGCGCAATGCAATATCGCAACGTATTCGACTTCTCTTTACTCTACCAAGTTATAGAAACCGAGTTTCTCTAATATTGTTCTAGTCAATATTTCTGAGAGCATAAAAAGAGGGTGTAATTCAATATTTCAAAGTTTTGATCTTTTGATGGATGCAAGTATTTTGAATATTCTCATTTCTGCATATGATTTTGTTGAAAACAGTTCCTTTCTTTTGTTCCTTTGTCTGATTTTTGTTTACCGTAACAACTCAGGTATGTAAAGCACAGAGGACATGATGTAAAGTATATTTATGTATTATATATTTGTATTAAAAGTTTCAGAGGTTATGTTGAAAAAACGATCGATATACTATTAAACTTTAATAATTTAGTAATGAGGTCTGTTGGTGGACCCTGCACTATCTTCTCTGGTATGTGTTAGTACAGCAATATTTAAATCTGGTTGATCAAAAAGTACACACCAGTGCAGGTATTGTAGCATCTACGAACAAATGAATTAATGGCCATTGGCAATTATTCCTTTAGGAAAAATATTCAAAATTACGATCTCTATACTGTGAAGAGTATTGAAACGCTCGACTGATAAATACAAATCTATACGGTGGCGAGATAGATAGATAGAAAACTATATTCAAACGTGGCGTCATCCCATAGACTTCTATATTTTTCCGTTTGCTGTGTATATATATACAACTTATATGTTTTGTTTTAGTTCTACAGTATGGTTTCATTACTTTATTTGTTGCCGCATTCCCTTTGGCTCCGCTATGTGCCTTACTTAATAATATAGCTGAAATTCGCCTGGATGCCTATAAGTTTGTAACGCAAGCGAGGCGACCTCTTGCGGAGAGGGTGGAAGACATTGGAGCCTGGTATGGGATCCTCAGAGCCATCACGTATGCCGCGGTAGTGTCAAATGTAAGAACAAATCTCATCAATGAGATTGAACGTAAAAATCAATCTTGCACGTGTTGATGACTAAAAATACCATAATTTCAGGCGTTTGTGATAGCCTACACCAGCGATTTTATACCAAGGATGGTGTATCAGTACAAATACTCTCCCACTGACGATTTGACCGGATATATAGATTCATCATTATCAGGTATTTGAGATATACCTAGAATCAAATTCATAACTGATTTAAATGAATTGTTTTAGTGTTCAACACTTCGCATTACCATGAAGGCATGGGAGCTGATAATGATGGGGAACCTCCTCCTGATAGTTGTCAATACAGGGGTAAGTTACCACAATTTGTTGATAGCAACGTATACGTTGGAGGAGTGCATATTGATAAGTCTTTTTCGTCAAATTTCATTTAAATGAGGCCTATCTCTTCCCAGCCAACGAGGTCCAAATCTGGAGAATTCAATGGTCATTGTCTTGGTGAAGCATGATCTATAAATATGCCCTTGTATATCATTAATTTGTTCATTTAGTATGTATTGTATCGGCACTTTAACACTACCTTTTTTAGGTTATCGAAATGGCCCCAACGAAACTGACCCATATGGGTTAAGCCCACAATATTGGCATGTTTTTGCTGCCAGGTTGGCTTTTGTAGTTATTTTTGAGGTGAGTTTTGCCCACATTTTTGAAATTTATCGTTTTTATACTCGTCATAACCTTTCATTTGATCCGCATGTCATCAAAATTTTATTGAATACCGTATTTTTTACATGCAGCATGTAGTATTTGCTCTTGTAGGAATAATGCAATACGTTATACCAGATGTGCCTTCAGAGGTGAGTCTATGTTACAGTTCTTCCGTCTGAAGTTTACCAACACAGCAAACGGAAAAATATAGAAGTGTATGGAACTGTATTGAATCGTGCTTTTTTATATTTTTCGCCTCTATGCCTATGCACGACTATAGTTAAAATCAAACTCAATGGTGTCTTACAAGATGCATCATTTTGATTTTCTATATTCAACAGAGAGGTAGAAACTCGACCCTGTCGAATAGTGCAGTCATTTATGTCTCTGGAAATTATTGAAAAAGGGGGCAGTCCAATGGTGCAGCAACTTCGGATTTTTATTCTCTTCAAAGTCATAGAAACTCAAGCTTTTCGAATTTTACTGGCAATGATTTCGTTAATGTCCCCGAGAATTATAAAAACATCGCAATGCAATATCGCAACGGTTTCGACTTCTCTTTACTCTACCAAGTTATAGAAACTGGAGTCTCTCTAATACTGTTCCAGTCAATATTTCTGAGAGCATGAAAAGAGGGTGTAATTCAATATTGCAAGAGTTTTGATCTTTTGATGGATGCAAGAAGTTTGAATATTCTCATTTCTGCATATGATTTTGTTGAAAACAGTTCCTTTCTTTGGTTCTTTGTCTGATTTTTATTTACCGTAACAACTCAGGTACGTAAAGCACAGAGGATATGATGTAAAGTATATTTAAAGTACCTATATTTGTATTAAAAATTTCAGAGGTTGTGTTGAAAAAACGATCGATATGCTATTAAACTTTAATAATTTAGTAATGAGGTCTGTTGGTAGACCCTGCACTATCTCCACTGGTATATGTTAGTACAGCAATATTTAAATCTGGTTGATCAAAAAGTACACACCAGTGCAGGTTATTGTAGCATCTACGAACAAATGAGTTAATGGCCCATTGCCATGGCAATTATTCCTATAGGAAAAGTATTCAACACTTCTATAATTTTCCGTTTGCTGTGACAACTTGAGTTATGTTTTTTACTTTGGACGGTGGTATTATACACCCTGTAGAAATTTAACTGTTATAATTTTTGTCAACATTATATTTTTTATTAGTTGAAAACTCAGATGCAACGAGAAGCTCAGTTAGCAAAGGAAGCAAAATACGAGCATGGTCTACAAAAGTCGGATAACGATTATGAAGAAATGATCAATGCTTTGAGGGAAAATAATAATGCTGTTAACTCAGATAATAGAAAAGTCTCAGGTTAGTATTATACGTCTTGGGCTTCTCATATTTTTGGTCCTTCGACAATCCACGTGGTATCATTTGTTGCTCTTTTTATAGCATTTAAACTTGAAATTGTTATTTTCGTAATTTTAGGTGTTAGAGGTTCATGGGCTAGACGACTAAGTAGACTCTCCGATGGCCTAGATGCCCATGTAGAAGTGGCAAGTAGGAAAAAAAACTCAATTTCTTCAACAGTATGGGAGGTGTCATAAAGAAAATTAAGCTGAATAAGTTAATAAATCTGTTTAATAAATATTATTATTATATGAATAACTGTACACAATATTTTGTAAAAATAAATGTTTTTAGTTTTTAAATATCATTTTATTCCCCGTTGCATTTTCATGTTTTGCCAAAGGATCCAATTCGGTAAGTACATTTGTTGGTGCAGAATTAACTAATGATAACTTTACCTAATATAATTTATATTTAAGTTTGTAAATTTTGTGAAATCAGCAAAATAATTTTTGCACAAACATAACCTTAAAATCAACCATTTTTATGTTTGAGTTCTCTAAAAAACCCCGACAACTGTATTTTAAACAACAAAATATACCTACGAATTCATGGCAACATAATACATATTATAATGGTATTTTACCGTTGAGTGAATCTTTTAATAATGCTAAATGCTGTTTAAATTTAGACGACTTATTTGTTTGACGATTTTTACTGAATTGAAATGTTAACACTTTTCACGTTAATCACTACTAAAATGTGTATTTATTGCATCTAATAGGTACAATTTATATTTACAGAGACTGTATGCAATTTATTTCTTCATTCAGATTAACACTGTTTATTGGAAAACCGGTAAAAACTCAACCCAGGATTTCCTCTCGAAATACACCCAACAACACAACAAATCGAGCCACGGTTTTTTCCGAAAAATAAAGAATAATTTATTTTGCAATCCCTAACTTTTTAAGCTTTTTCAAAATATGTATAAAGGTTTTTAAATAACCCACATCAGTTAAATGTAGATAGTCCCATAAGTGAATGTCGCTAATGGTACCATCTTTTTCTATAATACTATCCCCAACATCAACGAAAAATACATTGTGAGTTTCTTCGTTTTGTTCAACGTCCTCTGAGAATTTTTCCCTCAATAAGTTGTTCACCAGGATATTTTTTTCACGGTATGGATTTGGGTATTGGCCTTTTGGCAACAAGCTCTAAAATAGCATTAGTCAGCAAACGGAAAAATATAGAAGTATATAGGATGACTCCCCGTTTGAATACTAAATCTTATAATTTTGTCAGAACTGTATTGAATCGCGCTTTGTTTCTATATTTTTCGCCTCTACACCTATGCACGACTATAGTTAAAGTCAAACTCGATGGTGTCTTACAAGATACATTATTTTGATTTTCTATGTTCAACAGAGAGGTAGAAACTCGACCCTGTCGAATGGCGCAGTCATTTATGTCTCTGGAAATTATTGAAAAAGGGGGCAGTCCAATGGTCCAGCAACTTCGGATTCTTATTCTCTTCAAATACATAGAAACTCGAGCTTTTCGAATTTTACTGGCAATGATTTTCGTTAATGTCCCCGAGAATTATAAAAAACAGCGCAATGCAATATCGCAACGGTTTCGACTTCTCTTTACTCTACCAAGTTATAGAAACTGGAGTCTCTCTAATACTGTTCCAGTCAATATTTCTGAGAGCATAAAAAGAGGGTGTAATTCAATATTGCAAGAGTTTTGATCTCTTGATGGATGCAAGTATTTTGAATAGGTATTCTCATTTCTGCATGTGATTTTGTTGAAAACAGTTCCTTTCTTTGGTTCCTTGTCTAATTTTTATTTACCGTAACAACTCAGGTATGTAAAGCACAGAGGATATGATGTAAAGTATACTTATGTTGTATATATTTGTATTAAAAATTTCAGAGGTTATGTTGAAAAAACGATCGATATGCTATTAAACTTTAATAATTTAGTAATGAGGTCTGTTGGTAGACCCTGCACTATCTCCACTGGTATATGTTAGTGCAGCAATATTTAAATCTGGTTGATCAAAAAGTACACACCAGTACAGGTTATTGTAGCATCTACGAACAAACGAATTCAAACGTGGCGTTATCCAATACACTTCTATATTTTTCCGTTCGCTGTGAGATAACGGAGGTCTATTGATTCTATAAAATGTATACTTACCGGTAATACGATTATAGAATTTTCTGCGTTCTTTTTAACTTCTTTTATTAACTCTAGAATTCCTTCGTAGATATCTTCAACAGTACAATCAACATTGTTTGTTCCCACCAATAAAACCACGGCCTTCACTTGTTTTTCGAAGGATAATTCGCCATTTTGTATCCTCCACAATACATTCTCAATCCTTTAACATGTTACAATAATTATTATACTTATAAACGCATTTCTGGACGCCCTTTATATTACCTGTCTCCTCCTATGCCCAAGTTCACGCAGTTACACGCATTTTTAAAGTCAAACCACATGCAGCTGGTTTCCAAATATTTTATGATTGAATCGCCGATGAAAACCACATCGCAGTCTTTGTTTTGAATTTTTTTTATATACTCCTCATGCTAAAATGTAAATTCGCTTAGTGTGAACTATCCTTAACGGAATCGACAAATCTGTTTTTGTTTTGAGGTTAAGTTTGTTCGTTTTATATGTTTTTTGGGATTAATATGTGAGCACTGTTTAAAATCATATTTATGTACTATGCTCCACACCTCAAAGTCCCACCACGTGACCACGTACGGAACGCAGTCTTTTGAAAATTTGGCATTCAAGGCTTTTCAGGTTATGTATCTGTCAAAGTATAGTCAATGAAAGAAATAATATTTATAGTGTTACCGCTTATGTTTAAGCGTTAAAAGTTAATAAATCTTTATAGTATAACAATAACAATGGTTGGTTTAAGAATTTAGGAATATAAATACTGCATTTAATGAAATTCCAAAGTGTAAGGTGATATTTGGTCTACATTTCTCCATAAAATAGTTTTAACTAAACAGCATTTATTAAAAAAAATCTAACTTCTCTGTTATGAAATAAGAATATCTGTATCAAAGAACAAAAAATATCATCTAATTTTGTATTTTAAGGTTAGAAAAATCTATTTTGACCAAAATAAATAAGTGGATTATTTGGAAGAGTGTGTTAATATGGTCATAAATAAATATAGGTATACTAAATAATTGTTGAATATGGTTCAAATTAAATTGAAGCTTTTATACTTTCAACGACAAAACTTGTGCATACCTCTCGGCATACCTACTTTAAGTTAGATTATAAGAAAACAAACAATTTTTAGAGAAACTTGCAATGTGAAAATATTTAATACTGTGATTTATGAAAATATTAAAGTTATAATGATTTTTCGATGTAGATCAAATTCAGTCGAAGCATTTTAACTATTTGTATTGACAAAACTTTATGTAGGTACACTTTAAGCTGGATAAGAAAAACTACCACATTTTTAAATACCATACTGTCTTTTAAATAATCCAAAATACTTATTTATTTTGGCCAAAATAAATTTTTCTAACCTTAAAATTACAAAATTAGATGATATTTTTGTTATAATATATTAACCTACCTTTAATACAGATATTCTTATTCCATAATAGAGAAGCTAGATTTTTTTAATAAAAGCTGTTTAGTTAAAATTATTTTATGGAGAAAACCAGATATTTGGAACAAATGCACAAAAATATTACTTATTTCGCACGTGTATACACTTGAGAATTTCATTAAATGCAGTATTTATATTCCTAAATTCTTAAACCATCCATTGTTATTGTAATGTTATAAAGATTTATACATTTTTAACGCCTAAACATAATATTATTTCTTTCGTTGAGTATACTTTGACAGATACATAACCTGAAAAGCCTTAAATGTCAAATTTTTAAGACTGCGTTCCTTACGTGATCACGTGTTGGGACTTTGAGGTGTGGAGCATAGTATCTGCATTTTACATTCACAATAGTCTTTGATAAGAAGGGATCAAAATGTATTCATATTAAGGGTAAGTTACTACTTATAATAACGGGTAAACAATAAAACTTACTTTTTTAATCCATTCCGAGTCTCTAGGAACGGCTCTTAGACAAGGGTTTGTCATTTTTAAACTTTTACGTCTTCTATATCACGCTTTAAAATATAAAAATTATGGTTACTGCATTTCGGTTTGCTAATATAAAAAAATCAATAGATAGGAAGGTTGCAGCAGAAGTGGAAGAAGAAAATCTGCTAGCAGGTTTTCGTAGTTAAGTTTCCAGGATATAGATGGCGCAACTGCATATGTAAAGGGCGAAACAGAATATATTTTTAAAACTAGTTAACGTTTGTCGAGATATTTTTACAAAGCGTTAATTTGTTGACAAAGTCGCTATAAGTTCATTTTTTTTTATCTGGACTGCGATAACGTTGCAAATTTAGGGTTTTGGTTGGTAAATACAGTTGTCAAGTTGGTCGCATTGATTAAAACAAACTAGTTATAAATCTAATTGTGGTTATGTATAAATTATTGTAGGTTACATTGTGCAGTTGTCAAGTTGAGTTGTCAAAATTCGTAGTTAAAAATGCAATTAATTTGGCTTTGGTGGTGCTTGGATGAGTAAAATCATATAAAAAAGTAGTTAAATATAGGTTGCTTTACGGCCCAGAAGAGAAAGTATTCCTAGCGGATAATAATCTTCGCTTTGAAAAGAATTTATATAAAAGAAATTAAAATTTTTGGTGAACGTAAATGTTGTCCAATGGTGAATAATGTGTGATGTAATATTTATAAAACCAAATTCGTTACTTTTTTACTCCAAAAATGTCTATAAGGCGATGTACTTTTTCTTCCATTGTGGCATTTGACATAATTTCATCAAAATGAAGTTTTGCCCTCAAAAGGGCTTTTACATTCGAATTCGTTGCTATTATTTTTGGCATAATTATCTTTTTATTTATAATTGACAAGTAAATTATCAATAATAAATATTATTGTCAATTTGACAGTGTCAAAAAATGAACTGTAGGTTCCTGTGTTTCAATATACAGTAGTGGAAATATGTAGAGCAAGTTTAAAAAAAAAACAACAAATAATGTCAATAAAATGCAATAGGGATAGAAAAATAAAAAAAAAAATTATTTTAAAAATAAATATTTATTAAATATAGGTAGTGAATACAATATGTATTAAAAATAAATAATTTTATATACTTGGTATATTTTAAAACATTAAACAATAATAACTATAATAACATGTGTATTAACAAAAAAAAATAGTTTTACAACTTAATTTTTAAAACTTCGCATAATTTTTCATATACAGGGGTGAAAACTTTATTATAACCGTCGTTAGTTAGATGCAAGTAATCGTGCATAATATAGTGTGAAATAGTTTGGTCATTGCCTACGATATTTTCGTGTATGGGTACCAAAATCACGTCCTCCGTTACTTCATCATAATTGGCCTCATTTAAAAACTTATCCAGCAAAAAAGTGTTCACGTGATCATTTCTCTCTCTAAAAGGGTTCGGAAAGTGGCCCCTAGGTAGTAATGTCTAAAAAAATGACACAGTAAAAAATTTTGCCCGTGTAAATTTTTTAGTGTAGGGGTAAAAATATTAGAGTTGATTTGTAAGTGTAAAAGTTACACTACAAAATAGCATTTAGTGCTTATTAACTTTATTAAACACATTTAAAGAATATGACATTATTCATTGGTACATTCACACTATTTATTATTAAAATAAATCAAAAGGGTAGAAAAACTTAATGCGAGTGTTTATTACCCCTTAATGTGTTAAATAGTGACAAAATTTACACTACAGTGCATGCCAATTTCTTTTTCTGTTTTGAGGTTACTAAGAGCTCTTTTTTCTTTACACTACCAGTGCACATTGTATCACAATTAAAGTTAAATTACACCAATAGTGGGAAAATACACTGAAAAAACTGGTAATAACCTAAATGCGTTTTAAAATGTTTGGTTGGTACCTATCTACCTACGCAGTGCATAGATACCGCGTTGTGGAAGTGTGGCATTTTTGTTCAGTTAGATTTTAATTACGGTGAATCCATAAGGGGACATTCTTATTTTTTGGTAAGTATTATACTTCCTTTTTCTTTAAGCCTTAATCCTCAATAAATACCAATATGTTAAAAGGATGTCCATACCCGACCTATATTATATATCTGATATATATTATATCAATAATTTACGGCAGTAGGTCGGGTACTTGTAAAATTAATAATATAAATACATACACACTTAATTTACTTTTTATTTTCAAGCGTAATGGTTGTTATATTAAACTATACCTACATTTTTATTAATATTATGGAAAATTTGTACACGTGTGGTAAATACCCGACATACGGCCGCCTGACGCCTCTCTACCAATGGGATCACCCATTTTTTATAACAGAAAAATGGATTACTGATGAATTCTCAAGATAATCATTGCTTACAAGTTTTCAGCCAGTAAAACATTGCATTGATCTAAAACTTTTACGGTTTAAGGAACCATTTTGCTTAAGCCAGCCATACGACTCAAATATAAAATTATATTTTAAAAGGCACCGATTTTGATAATTGTCATAGATTTTTGTTCCAAATAAAGGTTTCTCTTTATTTACCTTTTCGTTTTATTCACTACCACCAATAGGTTTTACTCAAATAATAGTGTTAATTTACACTAGAAGTTTGCACTAGAAGAGTAAAAGTACCTTTCTAAAATTAGAACTTTTCCAAAGTGTTAATTTACACTGAACAAAAGTGGGATTTTACCCAGGAAGTGTAGAAGTACACGATTTTAGGTAAATTAACACTTTTTAATACAGTGTAAAATTACTTTATCCTTAGTGCTAGTGTTATATCATACTTGCTTACTTGGGGAAAATTACACTACAAATTAACTTGTAGTGTTATAAAACAACACTATTTAGTGTGGACCTGTGTGAACTCTAATTAGTGTTGTTTAGAGTTGATTTTTTTTTACTGTGCATACAACATGCTGCTAGAGAAGGAAATTGGTGCTCCACTTACAGGTAAAATAATTTTCACTCTCCCCAAACGGTGTTTAATTTCCTTAATAATTTCCAAAATTCCTTCGAATATTTCATGTGGGGTACAATCTGTGTTATTTGTACCTACAAACAGAACTATCGCTTTGATTTTTACGTTGAAATTTAATTCTTCGTTCTGCACCCTCCACAAAACATTTTCCACCCTAAAAATATTTTCGTATTTATATTCATTAGTGTTAAATGTATTCAGAGGTCATAGAATAAAAAAAATGGTAGGACAAACCCTGATAGCACACTTTATTCTAAGCATGTTTTTTAAACCTTCCAGTGAGAATATTCTTAGGATCATGCTATATCTCTTCTAAAGAACATGCTTAAAAGATATATAGCATGATCCTAAGAATATTCTTACTGGCCTATAGGCAGGTTCTTAGAAGGTGCAAAGAAAAGTGGTAAAAATTAGTCTACTCTAAAAATATGCTTAGAATGTTAAGAAAGTAATTGCTATAGAAAGTTCATTTAGGAATATTCCTGGTAAGCATATTTAGTTCAGTTACACACTAAAAAATTTTGAGTGGATTTTAACTCAAAATTAACTCAAAGTGTTGTCAAAACGAGTCCTCACCGGATTGTGTAAAAAATTAACTAATTTTTTTTAGTAACATTTAACTTTTATTGAGTTAAATATATTAATACATTTTGAGTGAATTTTAACTCAAAAAAGTGATTTATGTCGAAAAATTGTGTAAAAATTTACATATTTTTAAGTAACTTTGAACTTATTTTGATTTAATTTTAACACACTTTAGTGACTTGTTTTCACTAAATAGTGTTAATTCTACTCATTATTAATTAATGCAGGTAAATTTATAAAATTAAACTCATCATAAAACCAAAACTTTATTTCATAAAACGTACATTATTTTTAAAAATAGTAGCTTAATTATGTATAAAAATAGTAAATTATAATTTAAGAAAATTTAATTGATAATTATCAATTAAATTTTCTTTTAAATACAAAACAAATGTATACATTTAAAAAATGGCCAATGACAAAATAGCAAAAGATCCCAACAAAATAAAATAAATATACTTTTAAAACAAATAATACATAATAAATATTATAAAAAATGTCCCATATGATAAAACAGGATAAGATATTAACAAAACTCGTACTTTAGAATAATATAATGCTTAGTTGTATTATATGACTGATAGGCTGCATATGGCTCCTAAAACAAACAACTTAAAGCAAGATCAAAACTTTAAGTAATAAGTTAATAATAATTATTAAGTGAGAGCAGAGTTCAATAATGTTCGAATAATTGAGCTCATCTTTTGAACGCCGACTCCATATTGTTTCCCTAAATATCCCACTTTAAATACAACGTTTTCGATACTTTATATACAATATATTATTACTTATACGATAAGTGTTATATATAAGGATAAAATATTACAGGAATAACTTACCTATATTCGTACTCTAATTAACTAAAACAAATCCTAACGGAATATGCAACGCGTCAGATCAACAGGCAACTAAGAGGTGAAAGACGCGAATTCAACCGAAAGAAATAAATCTTCACTTTCTAGAGTTTTTATTACCCAAATATGAGTAATTACTTATGTTTAACCAAATATTTAGTAAAATTACACAATTTTAATTGCAATTTCACAAAAAAGTGTAACTTAGATAATGTTTTAGTTAAATATACACAAATTAGAATAAAATTTACAAAATTACTCAACATTTCACTCAGCAACGCATTAACTCAATGATTTTTGGCGATTTACTCAAGTCGATTTTTTACTGTGTACCTATATAATAGTAAAATATACCATAAACTACGTATAAAGGTATATACCTAAACTTAAGTACCTAATTAATAATTAGTATTAAATACTAAGTAAAAAACACAATCCAAAATATTTGTTATTTGTCAAATTAAAACAATATTCGATAACAAAAATACTTTTACTTTAGGTATTTTATTTTATGTTAAAAATAAATATTTATTAATTTGTTTACCGATTTTTTATTTCTGAATCAACATTTTTATGTATACTAATCCTAACTATCTTCAACTTCAATCTAATCTGACTTATCTCACACAATTTTCCAATTTTACTTTTTATGAAATAATGTCATACAACTTATGGTTTAGAGGTCAAATTGTTTATTTAATATTTTTAAATAAATATATATTAATATGTCGCAAAATTTTTTAAGGGGACGATAAATACATTTCACTGTCATATTATGGCAGTGAGGCGTATTTGTCGTCTCCTGAAGAATTTTACGAATGTAGAATACAACATATTAGAACGTGGGTATCCGACATATTTGGAAATATTCTCAAAAGCTTCCTAGAAACTCCATAAGAAACCTTCTAAGAACATTCCAAAAACGTATTCTTAAAATGTTCTTAGGATGCTTTTTAGGAAGGTTTTAAGAAGATTTTAAGAATCTAATTGCATCATTAAAAGGGTATCTATTGAATGTTTTAAAAGTCCCTAAGAACATTCTTAGCAATAAGGGAAGGTTCTAAGAATATTCCATTATTCCGGGTCATATCTTCTTAGAAGATTCTTAAAATCAAATTTTGCTATCAGGGAAACTTTTTTTTTTTTGCTACATTACCTGTCACCACCAATTCCAAAATTAATACAATGAAGGGAACTTATTTTTTCTGCCCATAGGGAAGTGAATTGTAGTTGCTCTATTATAGAATCTCCAATAAAAATAACTTCGGATTCGTTAGTTTTAGCCAGTTGTACAAAACGGTTGTGCTAAAAAATTAAGTTAAGATAGGTAAACTAAAAGTTCAAAAAAAAAATTTGCTTGTAAAGCCCTATTGATCTTATACTGGTTTTATAATGCTCTCGACATTGGCTATTTTAAAACTAATTTGCTTTTTAAAAGGATTTTCAGGTAGATACACAAATAAAAATAGTTAGATTCAATTTATTTAGGTGAAGGTATAAGTAGGCTTTGTTTTTGTAGAAGGAAATGGCAATAAAAATTGTGACCACTTAAATTGTTAAACTGTTTAAATTATGCACTTATATTATGATCCCGTTGTGATTTCTTGCTGTGTTGAACGATTTTTTAAAACGTAGAAATTTCAAGTACACAACTAGCATAACTAGAAATTAACCAAAACCTAAGTAAAATAACGTTTTTTTAAGTTGTAATCAACCATTAACATTTTTTAAGTTTATTTTTTAGTATAATTCAACTAATAAAAGAAACCTATTGTAATATTACTACTAGTTACTACGGTTCATTTTTTTTATCTGGACTCGTATTTTTTTGTTAGGTTGGTGGCTTTTGTTAGTATTTAAAAATGGTACTTCTGCTAAAGAATTTAATTAAATACTTTGACACTGTCAAATTGACAATAATATTTATTATTGATAATTTACTTGTCAATTATAAATAAAAAGATAATTATGCTAAAAATTATAGCAACGAATTCGAATGTAAAAGCCCTTTTGAGGGCAAAACTTCATTTTGATGAAATTATGCCAAATGCCACAATGGAAGAAAAAGTACATCGCCTTATGGACATTTTTGGAGTAAAAAAAATAACGAATTTGGTTTTATAAATATTACATCACACATTATTCACCATTGGACAACATTTACGTTCACAAAAATTTTTAATTTCTTTTATATAAATTCTTTTCAAAGCGAAGATTATTATCCGCTAGGAATACTTTCTCTTCTGGGCCGTAAAGCAACCTATATTTAACTACGTTTTTTATATGATTTTACTCATCCAAGCACCACCAAAGCCAAATTAATTGCATTTTTAACCACGAATTTCGACGACTCAACTTGACAACTGCACAATGTCACCTACAATAATTTATACATAACCACAATTAGATTTATAACTAGCTTAGTTTGTTTTAATCAATTCGACCAACTTGACAACTGTATTTACCAACCAAAACCCTAAATTTGCAACGTTGCCGTAGTCCAGATGAAAAAAATTAACTTTAGTTCTGCTCTTAATTTTATGTCATATTCTATACATTTTTTGAGTTTTATTACTTAGAATGTTACTTAAAAATTCTACTTTTTTAAATTTAATAATAGACGTTATTAAGCATTTAAGCGTTAAAATAGCAAATTAGATATAATTGGGTCTATTCAATTAATAAAAAATAGCTACTTGAATTAAACTGTAAATTAAATAATGTCTAAATAAGTTATTTTTGGTTTATTTCAACTTTTATAAAGTTGTATACAATTTTTTCTAATTTATTAACACCCTGTACATCCGATCTCAAATTTTTATATTGTAAATTAATTTTCTTAGCAAGCAGAACTTTTTATAAGGAGTAAAAAATCGCGAACATACTGCATTAAGAACGAAACCTAACCTTAAATCTATTTTGTTATACCTACCTACTCTTTATTTTTATTGTTCATACTTTTCTAGTATTTTTCTATACAATAGTAGGTAAAAACAATTTTCTAGGACTATATTTTAGTATATTCAAATCAATGTAGCCAACTTTAGGTTAAGTTACAAGCATTTGCCGACTGAGCTGTCAATATCAAAATAAAAAAATATTTTAAATTTTGTTTTCTTACCATACTTATCCATCTACCATCCCCCACATCATCTTCCTTGGGTTCGGCAATCACGCATGGGTTCATCATGTCTAAATAACAAAAAAAAACACTTAAATCGAGTATTAAAACTCAAAACGCGAGTTTTCGCTTAAATCGCGGTTAAAATTATAAGTAGAAGTTCTTAACAGTTGTTCAACAACTTGGTTTTGCGGTATGAGAAGAAACGTGCAAAATCAAGCGCGGTGTTGCCAGGTTTATTTCATATTCTTCCCAGAAACATTTTGTGAGATTAAATAGAAAATCCCAGATTAAATTAGCGTCCCGAAAATAGTAGTTTTTGGGTTACTTATAGTAAAATGTTTTAAATTTAAAGGATAAAATCATAATTAACCATGTCAACGGCAGCTGCCTTAATTAATTTTCTCCACAAATGGCAAAAACGGTCAAACCTGGCAACACTGTATAAATTATATCAACACAGCTGTTTCCAAATTAGGTAAATAAATTAAGGGCGCCATCTATGGTACAAAAGACGAAGTTTTAGTATAAAATGCAGATTTTTTTTATTAAACATTTAATTTTACTGCAATTTTGACCGTCATAAAATACATCTATCATATATTTTGACATTTAAAATAAAAGGCAGTCTAAAAAAGTAAAAAATATGTAAATAAAACTAATTAAATGAAAAATATAAACCAGTTTATTAATAAAATTAAACGTTTTCATTGTTTGTTCAAAAAGAAAATTAAATTTTTGTTAAATTGAATAAAAAAATATTAAATTATTTTTCATTGTATTTTATATGGTTAAATTTCATAATTAAATGTTAAAATTCCAATTTAATTTCCTGTGACTAAAATAAAAATCCAGATTAAATTTAGTATACAGGGTGTTTCAAAAGTAGTACTTTTTGGATTTAAAAAAATGTCTAATGAAATTGCCGTAACTAAATCTAAAATTTGAAAAATATTGAAATAAAACAAAGTAACTAAACAAATAAATCAATTTATTAATAAAATTCATTGTATGTTCAAAAAGGTTGAATATAAAAATATTAAATTATTTTTTATGGTATTTTATAACGTTAATTTTAACTTAAAATTATTTTTTATTTGTTACCATAGGCGTCACATTGGGAAGGGGTTAAATATATTAATATGTATTTATCTGTTATCCATTGTCAAGGATATTAAGTATACAACTTTTAGACCTCGAAATTTAATTTTTTTGCAACTTTTTTGTTTTGTTTTGCAAAAGAACGTAACTATATTTTTAAGACAGTTTATAAAATAATTGTGTTATTTATCAAAGGTAAGAAAAATACATAATTTTATTTCTTACAAGGCTTTTCCTTACTTTTTTAGGCTTGTTGAGACTTATCCAAACAGGTGGATTGGTAGGCGTGGTCCAACCGAATGGCCTGCTCGGTCTCCTGATTTAACAACAATTGATTTTTTTGTAAGGTTATTTAAAATCGAAGGGTATTTATCAGCGAACCGAAATCAATTGATGATCTAAAACAACGGATGAGACGGGAAGTTGATACTGCCCTCTTGGCACTTCTTAAATAAGTAGTAAGTATACTTAATATCCTTGACGATGGTTGTAAGTAAATATTATAATTAAATTAATTGTTTGGTTTAACTAAAATTTTAAATTTTAAATAACCATTATTAAAACCATTATTATAACCATTATTATAACGATAACTATTATTATAATTATTAATAAAATTATACTTTAAACAGTCTGATATTTTTTGCAGTGGTCTGTGTATTCTTTCCTCCAGGCAAGTTGAATCTTTGATTAATGTCCATTCTGATAAATTTGAATTTAAAATTTTAACTTCATACTTATACTGCCGTACTAAGCGCAGAAGCGGTAATTAACATAATGGCTGTCATGAGATATTGGTACTTTTATGTTAATAGCTCTGCCAACTCAGTTTGGTAACAGATACCGCTAAAAATAACTTGATATTTCAATCATTTACTGACAAAATACCGATTTAATACCTTATTAAAGTAGAGATTTTTAACCCTAGTTTCATATTACGGGAAAATGTCAATTTCCTTTAAATATGCAGTTACCGCTTCTGCGCTTAGTACGGGAGTATACAAAGTGGGATTTTCATTGGAACAAACCAATTCGACAGCCCAATAAGCACAACTATCATAATAATATGATATTCTAAATAATTTTAAATCAAACACCATCCAATAAAGAGTTTCTTCATGTTTAAATTGTGCTTCAATTTCCATGTTTAATTCCATATCCCCATGCTTGGTCTTTAGATGTTTCAAAATGAATTCAAAGTTTCCAGTTTCAGAACAGCTCATTGGGCATTGATGGATACGTGATGGACATGTTTCTTCATGTTTCCTTAATCGACTGTCGATGTCAATTTCTTTGCATCCCAATTTACTATATTTGCATGGATACTTGATTTCTGTTGTTAAATTTTCTATCAAGTAGTTTCTTGAACTGGTCCAGCCTGCTTTACAAAATGGACATTGTTTAAGTTGTTCTTTGCATAATATACAAATACTGTGTCCATTGGTGCAATTATAAATTGGCGCTCTCATTGTTTCCATGCAGATAGGACATTCCAGTATTTTCAACATATTTTTGTCAATTCCCTTAGGATTCAAATTAAATTCGTTCGAAATCGTGTTGAAGTCGTCTAGGAGATGCTTCAACGAGTCAATGTCTACCACAGTCGCGTTGGGGTTTTTATCCAGGTTTTGTTCATCATAAAAACCATTCAGTTTGGTTAGTGTACCTACGGTTTTTAACTCTTTAATGTTTTGTTCTCGAGTACTTTTGTGCACCACTGTGTATTCCACATTTTCTTCGGATTTTTCAACTGGATTCAAGGCGTAATAAAATTTATTATCGACGACTGAAGTCTTCAAAAGGTAGCTTCGGTAATCATCAGATAACACTTTCACGTTGAAAGGCTCAGACAAGGAAGAATCAACTTTAAAAATGTTATTCTTACTTTTAATGACGCGCTTGTTATGATTTTTTAATAAATGTCCGCTTACTTCGAAATTGCTTCCACTCCAATCACAACCCTCCAGATTTTTCATCGGGCATGGTTTAATTTTGAAATCGCAAGTAGCGATGTGTTTGGAATAGTTTTTGGAGGTCAACCTGTTGTCGCAACCTTTGGATTGAAACTTGCAAGGTAAAATCAACTTGGCTATAATTAACATGAGGGCTCTGTTTAATTCAGCCCTTAATTTCATTTTCCACGATAGGCACTTTTCTTCGAAACAGTTCGCACACACATTTCCTTTACCTCTGACCAGGAAAACATCGGAAGTGCAAAGATCATCGCAAATCTGACAGTTGAATATTTTTTCTTTCAAAAGATCATCCGTAAACTGATCCATCGTTTTGGTGGCCATATCGTCTGCAAATAAAATGTTATTTAGATTTTGATAAAGAAAATTGAGGATAATCTTTTACTAAAAGACTTTTAGGTAACGTTATTAAAATCTAAAAACTCGCAGCGCGACTGCGACTCATTTAGAAAATACCAACAGATATAAATGTAAATTTTAAAATAAAATACAAAAAGGGTTTGAAAAATTGAATTTTATTTTCTTTATTTTATTTTTTTAAGAATGTCCTTTTACTCAAAAGGATTAATCGCAATTTTCTAATTTAAAAGTAAGGATCAAAGATGAACAATACGAAAACCGTAGTGCTGTTTATATATTACTGTACGGGAATCTATAAACAGCACTACGGTTTTCGTATTGTTCAACTTTTACGGGAGGAAGGAAGGAAGGAAGACAATCTATAAATCAGGCTTAAATATGTAACTTTAAAACGCAAGCGCCTAGAACCGGGGACAAATTTTATAATAGAACCAATGTTTTAGTGCAAAGTTGTATTAAGTTTATTTGACAATAATTTAGTTTCCAAATGGAGTATTTTTTGTGTGTGACATGTTATGTTTGAAATTTTCCAGACACCCTGTATATCAATCATGTCATGGCTAATATTATCTCATGGGGAATCCCCTTAGACCATATAATAATTAGAGGATTCCCTAAGACCTTACAATTATTACAAGGTCTTAGGGAATCCCCAAAGTTTATCTACAGCCTCAATGTATAAAATGTCCAAGTATTTATTAATATTCTTTCGATTTTTTTATAAACGTAGACAAAATTGGATGTGTAAAAAACATATCAAATAAAATTTGATTTGATACCGCCAAATAACAGACAAACATGCATAAACCTTACCTTGAACAAAAACTGGAAACAAACCAATGTTTTTCTTTGAAAACAAAAGCTGCAGGAACACCTGAGATATAGGTATTGAACAACAAATACACAACACTCGATAAAGACGACTTGTCAACCATAGATTAAATTATATGATGGATTCATATCATTTCTATGAACTAGATTAAGTTGTCGACTAAATCAAAGATAAAGAAGGTTGAACTGAATGGCGTGATAAAGCGCGTTGCCAACATTGAAAAATGCAAAATTTGTTTTTGCGAATGCGGATGCGGATGCAGATATCCAAATCTATGCGGAAGCTCCGCATTTGCGGATGTGGATGCGAATATTCGCAACATCCCTGTAGTATACGGATAAGTAATCCACAGCGAAAACAAACACGTAATGATTTAATTACAAGAAACAAATGATGCACCACAACAAATGCTCCCATTGGTCATGATCACGTGCGCACTGCGAACGGCACGCGCTATTCGCCGGCCCCGCCTAATTTCTTTCTTGTGGCCTTGTATAACATTCGCATCCGCATGAACATCCGCATTGATTATTGCGGATGCGGATGTCTAAATCTATGAGGATGCGAATATTCGCAACATTCCTGATATATATAATAACACACTAGTGTGTTATTTGATAGTTTACTTGTCTAAAATGACATTAATAATGACAGCCATAACTGTCATGTGTTGGATAAAAATTTTTTATTATCTTTCAAATAACCACCTCTGCAGCATGGTACGCCCTGTATATTTCTCTCACAATCATTGTAGTTATGACCCCTTCTCTTAACAATATCACTTAACGTATCTGTTAAGTTATCAACATAAATATATTAACCTTGAAACATTAAACACACAAGTTTAGACTACTGTCGAAAAATAAACGTACTACAATTTTTTGTTTATAAATAAAAAAATTATACTAAATCAAAATGGTCGTTTCCATGGAAAGATGGGTCGGTAAGGTTGCCATAGTAACCGGGGCTAGTGCTGGAATAGGCGCCGGAATAGCTAAAAAACTTGTAGAAGAAGGACTTACGGTAATTTTTTTTTTATTTTTTAAATTTGCTTTTTCCTTAATATCCTCCAAAAATAGTTAAATTTGGTATGCATTAACATTTATATTGTAGCGAGTTCGGCTCTGGATCTCGGAATGATGACTCATCGCCGATGAGTCATCGCCGGTGACTCAGCGCTAGAATAATCGAGAGTGTGGAGCTCGCTGGAATGTTCTAGAGGACGTAGGCGCTGTAATATATAAGGAACGACGCATCACAGAGCAGTCAGTTGAGCTTTGGTACGCGCGAAGAAATAAATAAATATAAGTGCAAATAAATAAACTAATAGTGATATAAATAATTAGTAGTTAAGTGTTTAGTTAGTTTTATAGTGTTTTCAGTGTAGTTAAGTTATTAAATAAATAGTTTAGTTCGTTAATTAACCAGTGCGTGTTTTAATTCACACTACGAACAGTTAAAAAAAACGTTACATTGGTGTCAGGAGTGCGGTTAGTGTGAAAGTTCGCGAAAATGGTTTCGTTAATGGACTTAAAAGTGGCGGACCTTAAGCGGGAACTGGAAGAAAGGGAATGTGAGACAACTGGAAAAAAGAATGTGTTGCAGCAGCGGCTTCGAGAAGCTTTGGAACAGGAAGGTGAAAATCCAGATACGTATTTATTTGAAGGCCCGTGTGATATGCATTTAATGTTGCAAAATTTAAACGAAAAAATGTTAGAGAATTCTAACAATTTGAAAGCTGATTTAAAACAGAACATTATGGAAAATTCTAACGAGTTGCAACAGAAAATGCTAGAAAATTCTAACGAGTTACAACAGAAAATGCTGGAAAACTCTAACGAATTACAGCAGAAAATTCTGGAAAATTCTAAAAATTTAAAAGAATATTTGGAACAGAAGATTCTAGATAATGTCAATGAATTAGAAGAGAAAGTAGGACAAAAATTTGACGACGTAAGGATGGAATTGAATAACGTAATGAGGGAATTAGATACAAGAGAAGAAAAACTGAACGAGAAATTGGATGTCAAAATTAGAGAAATAAATAGTAAATTGAAAGCTGTAAATCTACCCATGATGCTGGCGGAACAAGGAGCAGTGCCGGAGGGGAGCCGAGTTAGGATGAAACCACCTCAGTTCGATGGAAAATCTTCTTGGACCAATTACATCCTTCAGTTTGAGGCAGCTGCAAAAGCAAATGGCTGGCTACCAGAGGAGAAGGCTACAGCATTAACTCTTGCTTTACGCGGAGATGCAACGGACATCTTGCAGACACTTTCTCCAAACCAACAAGAAGATTACGAAGCCTTGGTGAAACACCTGGAACTGCGATATGGTCAGACACATCTGGAACATGTCTACCATTCCCAACTGAAGAATCGCTGCCAGAAATCGAACGAGACTCTGCAAGAATTCGAGGCTGATATTGCACGCTTGGTCCGGCTAGCATATCCAGCTACTCCAACGACCGTTATGGAACGATTAGCGGTTCAAGCCTTTTTGGATGGACTTCGAGACAATGAAACAAGGCAGGCTCTAACACTGGCTCGTCCGAGCCAACTGGTTGATGCATTGGCTCGAGCTTTGGAATTCGAGGCGGCAAAACAGAGCTGCAGGAGCCAGCCTAGAATAAGGAGAGTCGAGGAGGAGAAAGAGGAGGAACCCAGTATAATTGAAGCAATCAGGCGAGTTTTTAAAGAAAATCTACCACAGAAGAAGGAAATCCGGTGTTGGATATGTGGAAAGCTAGGACATATACGAAGTCGTTGCAGAGAAAGCCAGGTGGCGCCGACTTCATCTCAGTCGGAAAACTAGATAGGGTCGAGGAAAAGGGGCTACCGTCGACCTGTAACCATCATGCCCCAGAGGATATCGAACGTGTCGCATCTCTTCTACACCAGTCCATCAGTGTTTTTGTGGATGGTTTAATTAATGGAAAATTACATGTGCTGCTGCTGGATACAGGTGCGACGAAGACAATTATTAGGCCAGATATTGTCGAAATGTCCAAGATCAAATCTACCAATCGGCGACTGCGTACTGCAACAGGAGAAACCGCTACTGTTCGTGGAGAAGTGGACATCACGATGGTCATAGGAAACACGAAGTTTAAACATCGAGCATTGGTTGCAGATATTGAAGATGAAGTTATTGTAGGCATGGACATTATGAACTCTAAAGGATTTGAACTGGACTTTAAGCAAGGAATATTGAGGGTAAATGGAGAGGAAGTCGTGTTGCATCGATCTAAAGAGAAGAATATTCGTGTAATGCTAACAGAAGATGCTTTGATACCGGAACACAGCGAGATGATATTAAAGGCTTTCTTGGATTGTAAATCGGAAGATGGAAGTATAATGCTTCTGGAGCCGAGAATTGATGACAAAGAGGTCGGTCGAGGAATTGTAGTAGGGAAGACTTTAATACGCGTCGGAAAAGAAGTGCCTGTAAGAGTATTGAATGTTAATGGTTACTCTGTGAACTTAAAGAAAGGAATCGTTTTGGGAAACTGTTCTTCAGTTTCCTCGATTATTAGAGGCATTCGTGAGTCAGCAGTTCCGGCCAAGAAAGTTAGCAATGAATTGATGAATCTTCTGTCGACTTCTTCAAAGGATTTGAAACCCAATGAAAGTATAAAGCTGAAAGAGCTGATTTACAATTATCAGGATGTCTTTGACGACGGACAAGGAAAGAAGGGTAGGACAAGAATTGTCCAGCATAAAATTAACACCGGTGATGCACAGCCCATTCGACAGTCTGCAAGAAGGCTACCTCTTGCCAAGCGAGAGGAAGCTGATAAAATTGTGCAAGAAATGGAGAAGGAAGGGGTGATCGAACCATCCAACAGCCCATGGTCTTCCCCAGTGGTGTTAGTTAAGAAAAAGGATGGATCAACTCGATTTTGCGTCGATTTTCGTCAGCTGAACAACGTGACGAAGAAGGACAGCTACCCTCTACCTAGGATCGATGACACCCTGGATACATTGGCTGGATCGCAGATATTTTCAACTTTGGATTTAAAGAGCGGTTATTGGCAAGTTGAAATGGCACCAGAAGATAGAGAGAAAACGGCGTTTACCGTGGGTGCAGGACTGTGGCAGTTTACTGTCATGCCGTTTGGACTATGTAATGCCCCTGCAACTTTTGAAAGGCTCATGGAAATGGTTTTGAAGGGACTATCCTGGAAGACATGCTTGGTGTACCTTGACGACATCATTGTGGTTGGGAAATCTTTTGAAGACCATATGAAGAACCTGAAGGAAGTCTTTCAGCGTTTAAGAAGTTCCGGCCTGAAGCTAAGCCCTAAGAAATGTCACTTGTTCCAGAGGGAAGTGCAGTATTTGGGCCATGTTGTTTCGAGTCAAGGAGTGGCAGTGGACAAACAGAAGGTGAAGACGGTGCGGGAATGGCCAATACCGAAGAACAAACATGACTTAAGAAGCTTTCTTGGATTATGCACCTACTACCGTCGGTACGTACCAGGATTCGCAAAGGTTGCTAAGCCTTTGACACGTTTAACAGAGGGAGAAAGACGATTCCAATGGGACGACGAATGCCAGGAAGCCTTTAAGAACCTGAAAAACGCGTTGACCAGCTCACCAGTCCTAAGTTATCCTCTTCCGGATGGTAAATTTATTTTGGACACGGACGCCAGCAATGTGGGCCTGGGAGCTGTCTTGTCGCAGATTCAAGAAGGAAAAGAGAAAGTTATTGGATACTTCAGTAAAACTCTATCGAAACCAGAGCGAAATTACTGTGTTACTCGACGCGAGCTGTTGGCAGTGGTAAAATCAGTCGAACACTTTTACAAGTATCTGTATGGAAGAAAATTCCTGCTAAGAACGGATCATGCTGCCCTAAAATGGCTTTTGCAATTCAAGAATCCTGAAGGACAGGTAGCAAGATGGATTGAGAGACTACAGGAGTTCGACTTTGACACAGAACATCGGGCTGGGACCATCCATAGAAATGCTGACGCCTTGTCAAGAAGACCGTGCCCGGAAGACTGTAAACATTGCCTCAGGGCCGAAGAAAAGGATGTGCTTGTTCGCAGGACTACAATTGTGGATGATCATTGGCAATCCGCTGAGGTTCAACAAGACCAGGAAAGGGATCCGGATTTGAAGCTTATCATCGATTGGAAGAAGAACGACCGTAAACCAACGTGGCAGGAAGTCGCCCAATATTCGCCGAATGTGAAATCGTACTGGGCCCAATGGAATTCCATCATCTTAAGTGACGGGCTTCTAAAGCGCGTTCTGGAGATGCCAGAAGGGGGGGAAGACCGAAAGCAGATAATAATCCCCAGAAACAGGATACCAGAAGTGCTGCAGGAAATCCATGATGGAACTACTGGAGGACATCTTGGGGTGACCAGGACGCTCGGAAGACTTAGGGAACGGTTTTATTGGGTCAACAGCCAGCGAGATGTGAAGGAATGGTGCAAGAAGTGCGCCGTTTGCGCGGCAAGCAATGGACCCCAGAAGCGCCCAAAAGCCCCAATGCGACAGTACAATGTGGGCAGCCCATTTGAGAGAATTGCAATCGATGTGGCGGGTCCATTTCCGGAAACAGAATCTGGAAATAAATACATCATCGTTGTAATGGACTACTTCAGCAAGTGGGCGGAAGCGTACGCCTTGCCAAACCAGGAAGCTGCCACAGTGGCCGATGCCCTTATTAAGGAGTGGATTTGTCGTTTTGGTGTGCCAATGGAGATGCATTCAGACCAAGGCAGGAACTTTGAATCTATACTGTTCCAGAATGTCTGTAAAATTCTTAACATTCGGAAGACGAGGACGACTGCATTACATCCGCAGTCTGATGGAATGGTAGAACGAATGAATCGAACAATAAACCGGTACCTGTCCAAGGTAGTCTCTGATCACCAAAGAGACTGGGACCGCTTCCTTCATCTGTTCCTGTTGGCGTACCGTTCTTCTATCCACGATACAACCGGCCAGACACCCGCTAGCATTGTTATGGGGCGTGAACTTCGTCTACCTTGTGACCTGAGGTTTGGT